TCTGTCTCTTCCCCACCGCCGCCTCCCCTTTCCCTCCCCCTCCCCCAATCAAGTCCCCCTCCCTCGTCAGCCCAAAGAGCAATCAGGGTTCCCTGCCCTGTGGGAAGTCCAAGGGCCACCCACCTCCATCCAGGTCTAGTAATATCCATCGTTTCTTGAGATCATTTTTTTTTTTAAAGACAAACTGTTGGGAAGAGATGTTGTAAGATTTTAAGGGTAAATGCAGAGGTTAAGTCGTCTTTTTCTCATAATGTAGCAGTGAGTATTGACGCAAGAGGCTCTAAAGGAACGGGATTGGGCATGCATTTCATTTGAAAAAAAAAACAAAATAGTGTTTCTTCATGAAAATTAAAATTGCTTTAGAATCCTCATGTTTGAGAATTTTTAAATTAGGAACCTGATATGTGTGTTCCATCTGGGGAATCATTTAAATATTTTAATCGTCCTGAGGGGAAGCATGAACGCTGGGGTGATTCCCTAAGAACATAACATCTTCTTCCCAAGATGACATCACAGGAAGTGCTGTCTGTGGACAAGGGATGACGTCACAGGAAGTGCTGTCTGTGGACAAGGGATGACGTCACAGGAAGTGCTGTCTGTGGACAAGGGATGATGTCACAGGAAGTGCTGTCTGTGGACAAGGAATGCCTTGAGTGAGCCAACAGTGACTTAACTTACAAGGGTTCAAGCTCTCCTAGCTGGTTAGGTAACTCAGCCATTAGTCATAATAGAGGATTTGTTAAATTTTACTAGCTAGGCAGTGGTGGCGCACACCTTTAATCCCAGCATTTGGGAAGCAGAGGCAGGCAGATCTCTGTGAGTTCGAGGCCAGCCTGGTCTACAAGAGCTAGTTCCAGGGCAGGCACCAAAGCTACAGAGAAACCTTGCATTGAAAAAATAAATAAATAAACAAACAAACAATAAAAATTTTTCCTCATTTGAGTCAACATAACTACTTATACCCTGTATACATTTGCTTTCTCATCCCTGTGACAACTCAAATCGGTTGACTTGGAAGGGAAGATGTATTTTGGTTCCCAGTTTAAGCTGAAGAAAACATGGTGGCAAGAACGTACGTGAGTCAACTGGTCACACCGAGTCTGCACCAACATGCAGAAATGGATGTCCGTGCTCAACCTGCTTTCCCCATTGTATTCAGTCCCAGACCTAGGACATGGAATGATGCCACCCATGATCAGGGCGTCCTCTCTCTCCTCTTATAAATCTCTCTGTAAATGCTCTCACGGATATGTCCCACGATTTGTCTCCAACAAACGTGATTCTAAATCCCGTCAAGTTGAGGTTAAGCGTTGCCCACCCCAGTCTCATCACAGAGCCCCTGTATTTAGCCACGTCAAAGTGTGTCTTTGAGGGCTATTATATAGAAGGTACCCTCTCTAATATACTCCCCTGTTGAGCTTTCGGCATGAATTTACAAGTCGTGGTTCAAACGAGAGGGTTCCCTCCCCCCTCCCCCACCCCCACTCTGTATTCTTGGGTTTTTGAACACTTGGGCCCAACTTGTGGTGCTAGTTTAGAGGACGTTATGAAACTTTTAGGTAGTGAAGCCTTGCTGGAGGAAGTGTATCCCTGGGGGCGGGCCTTGAGAACATAGAGCCTCACCGCACCTCTGGTTGGCTCTCTGTGTTTCCTGGGGACAGGAGAGGGGTGATCTCTCCGTTTCCTGCTCCCAAGTCTCTGCAGCCAATAACGACACCTACGCCCCTGGAGCTGTAAAGCCGAAACAAACCCTTCCTTAAGTTGCTTTTGATTATGATATCACGGTGACAGAAAGGTAGCCAGTGTGTAAGTCCATTCAGATGTCAACAAGGAGAAAGAGTTGACTACAAATTTCAATAATCTGCTAGAAAAATAAAAAACAAAACCTGAGTTAGAAAGATGAAGACTTCTTCAGCTCAGGAAGAGATTCGGAGAAGATCCGGGCCTGGCCTGGAAAACAAATTTGAAGTCAGGTCTCAGTTTCCACCTTTAGCAGCTTAGTCATCGGAATGTGGAGGTGACAGAGCCCCATGGGGCAAGGGGAATATTTAAAATCTCGTAGTTGGCCATGAGTCACAGGAGGTAAGCAGAGCCTGAAGCCCATCAGCAGGCTATGAAGTCTTTGCCCGAGGAAAAGAAAATGGAGAAATAACAAATATTCCAGAACCACCCAAGTGTCTGGTGGCCATGCTGACTCGAGTTAGGATGTTGTTGTTTCCGGGCCGTAGAGCCTATGGTAGATGCTCAGCACCTGGTTGAAAGAGTTTTGAGGCCGGGAAACAAAATAACATTGCTGTGAGAGAAAGACCGGTATTAGCAAAGTGTGTTCAGGTAATTCAGTTCTGGAGAGAGCTATGAGCCATTGATAGAAATCAGTTATGACAACCAGGGAAAGAGCAAGTCGGCCAGGCCGTCTGCTCTTGAGCTAATCTGTGTCACCTGTTAGGTCAAAGCAAAGACGCCCTCCCTCGAAGACAGCCTCCTGCAGCGGTTGCCCTGGCGGCCTCCGACATACTCAGAAAGGACTCCTTGCAGGCTGCCACTAGTCTGCTAGGCCAGCCATTGAAGAAGGCAGCAGCGTGCAAAACCCCAAACATAAGTTTTTGAATTTATTTTGCTTTGCTAGTTACTCACCCAGGGAGCAGTCACTGATGCAAGTTTGTGGGTACTGTGTGTACACAGACAGTGTATCTTAGATAGTAATTCGATAGTGAACATGTAACTGTTATCTGAAGAGCAAGGCATGTGAGTGCGGCTGCTTCTTGGCGCCGTCAGGTATTATACTCCTGTAGAAAGCATACATAGTCGCAGGTTCTGTGTGTTATTGTCGGACACGGCCCTGTACCAACGGCTACACGCATGGAATGCGCCATGTTTGCTACCACTCAACCAAGTTTGAAGTCTTTAATGTCAGCCGTTCTAAAGAAGTAGGCAATACCTTACCCGTTTCACCCAAGAAAATACACAGGTTCACTTTACTGCGAGGGATAGGCGGAAGATCCGGCCCGGCTCTTTTTCTGATTCTGAGTGCTGCCGGGAGTCGTTAGCATAATGCCGTCTTCTCATCCGTTTCTCTGCACCTCTGTTCTGTTCTCTAAGCAGGACCAGGCATCGAAGAACCCACAGTAATGTACATACTTCACGGTGTCTCAGTCGTGACTCGGAAATACTATAATTTATAAATAAAAGATTTAAGCCAGCAAGCAGCATTTCCTCACTCACGTCTTCTGAGCAGCGTGTTGCGGTTTGGTAACAAGTCGTTTATTTTCTTACTCCGTGGAGCACACCATGGCCTATGTAGCGTGCTATGGTTTCCTCTTTCCCTTCCCGTTACAATGTATCTTTTCCTCAAAACATTCATGCTTTCGAAGGATCTAGTAATTACCTCTCAGGATAGTTACAAAGGCCTAGTAACGTGGTCCACTCACAGGTCTTGGCATGCTTATTACTTAGTCATGGACACAGTTTATCAGTTTTCTTTTATCTCCTTGTTAATACGTTACATCTCAAAGATAAATATGCTTACCACATTGCATGTAAAGTATCAGTGCCGCAGACAGGAAAGTGATTTCGCTTTAATTGGTGTTTAAGACCTCAGGTGAACGTTGACGGAAAGTTATCACAGTGAATCCAGCTGGTGCAAACTTGCCCCAGCTGATTAACTTTCCCCCCTTTCTCCAGATGATGGCGTGAGGATTCCAAATGTAGCATGTACATCTGTATATTTGCATGATGTGTTTATATGGCCCGGCTGTAATCTTAATGTTGATTACGTTTATTATGCTTGACATGCTTGTGTACATTTCTCCTTAAAGAAGTTAAGACGAGTTCGAATACTGTTGAATAAGACCCAAAGTCATGGCAACATTACAGAAATAAACTAATGAACAAAGCTTAGAGGAAAATAACCTACGGAACTTGAGTGAGGATTGGAAGAGAGTTTGACGTGCTAAGACACATGGCTAGTGGCGGTTACAGAGCTGAGCCCGACATTCTGAACATGGTATTGTAAGCGCTGGGTACTCTCCCATCCCCGGGCTTTTTATATTTCAGAGTATTTGACACTAAGATCGCATTCTTTCTCCAGCTACTTCTACTTGAGAATCATCCCCCAGTCACCTGTTCTTCCTTGGTGACACTGTTGACATTTTGATTGTTTATTTTTTTTGTATATTCATTTGTAGAGGCAGCTTTTATAGGATGAGAGTCACAGTGTGTGTGTGTGTGTGTGTGTGTGCACATGTGCGCGCGTACAAGTGCACACACACGTATGGGTTCCTATGTGGAGGTACATATACAGGGCTCTGGGTTTCGCGGCCAGAAATCCACCTTAGCTGTCTTTATCGCTTTGTACCGTATTTTCTGATACAGGGAATACTGGTTATTGTCTCATTGTGTGAGAAAGGCGACTTAAAAGGAAGGAGAGGTTCGTTTAGGCTTCCAGTTTGAGGGTAGAGGTTATTGTGGTGGAGAAACCATGGCATGAGGAGCCGGAAGAAGCTCGTGCTTGGAAGGCAGAGAGTGACTTCATGCCGAGGTCACTTTTCCTTCTCCTGTTTATTCAGAGTGTAGAACCCCCAGCGCAGTTAACTCTGATTCCTATAGTCCTTCACAGGTGTGCACAGAGGCTTACCTCATCTGGGTAAGTCCTCACGGGAATGCCGAGAAGCTTCTGTCCTCCGTGGTTCTCAATCTGACCACTTGCTGGTTAGTATGAGCCAGTGCACAGCATCTCTTGTAGAACCTGGAAGTCGCTGATTGACTGGGCTTGCCAGGTAGAGAGCTCCGGGAATCACCTTGTCTCCATTTGACTAGACTTCCCAGGTAGAGAGCTCTGGAGTCTCCTTGTCCCCATCTGGCCCTGAACGGGGGTTGCGGACACACCCCGACTGTGTTCATCACTCATTGACGAGTTTCCACAATCTGCACTCTACACGCTGCCCTGTTTCACTTTGGTCTCCTGAGTGTGTTGACTTGCTCTCCTGTCCTGTTTTGCACAGAAGCGCTCCCGAGGACAAGTACTGTTTGACAAAGTGTGCGAGCATCTGAACCTGCTAGAGAAAGATTACTTTGGTCTCACGTATCGAGACGCCGAGAATCAGAAGGTGAGGGGTCAACGAAACATGAAGCGCTATGGTTGGGTCGTGTGTTACTGGACAGAAGTGACCTGAAAGCAGACAGACATGGCGTGTTCTCCATGGAAACCCCTACCCCATGCTCACACACCTTTGGGTCCCTAAATGTGATTAATCTCCCTTTTTCTTCATGAAGAAAATTCTTGGCAACTTCCTGTATCTTTGAGTATTTCTGAGACAGTAGCTCAGTCCCAGTTTTCAGCCTTGAGAGTTAGTGCTAAGGAAACATTTGATACTTATTATATTATAGTTAATCCAGTTTCTTGAGCTCATGAGAGCCAAGTGTTTAGATATCTATGTGGAAAAGTTACTCATACCCCAAATTCTGTGAAGGAATTACAGCTGTGACATAAAAATTAGGCTGTGAAGATAACATTTGCTGTTGCTATGTCAGTGGATGTCAGTGTTCCAGTCAGTATCACTAATGTTTGCCCCTGACGAGATCACTGCTATGTGCCCGTGATACCTGTTCAGGGCTTCATCCCACAACTAAGCCAGAAACAAAGAAGGGAAGAATTGTTTCCATCTGCAGATGCTAAGAAGTAAGACGTGGAAGTGTTGTTCATGTGGGTCCCTTATTTTTATTGCACACAAGTCAGGAATATTCCTACTGAAGTGACAGCCAACGTCAGACTTCATCATTGAGCATCTGACTTTTCCCAGGAGAAAAGTTTAATCAGCCATTAATTATAAATGCACGCGTCTCCATATTTAGTGTTTGTGCCCACACCGGGCTTGACAGGAGGCCACCAGGGGTGTGGAAAGAGCCGCAGTGGAGAGGGCCTTCTCCTGACGGTTCCCTCTCGGTGCAGTGCGTGTAAGGCTCTATGGATAATCATCAGACTCTCCTTTGATTCAAATCATATTGTTGCTTCTCTTTCAGAACTGGCTGGACCCTGCCAAGGAAATTAAAAAGCAGATTCGAAGTAAGTTCCCTCGGATGTTTGGATGTGTCGCGGCGGTAACGGTGTTTAAGGGGGGGGGGGGGGGTTGTGTGAACTGGTGACCCGCGCTCCGATGCGCTTGGCAAGAAGAGTGGTTCAAAGGCGGATTGGGGGCTGAAATTCGGCCTGACACTTCGCTCTGGCTCCAGGAGGGCCTGTCTTAAGTCATCACAACTCAGAAATCAAAATGACTTTGACAGGTGACCTGTTCCTTGCCTGTCCACAGATGTGAAATGCAATTTAATCGGGTTTTGCTGCACTTACCACTTAATCACTTAAAGTTCCAAACTTAGTTATTCATGTTAAAGCCGTTGCCGATGTGTGAAAGCCGTACCGAAATGAACCGTGTGATGGTTTTGAAAGTGGATAAGAAATCAGTTTGTTGTTGTCGGCAGCCTTACCTCACTCCCTAGAGACAAGAGATGCACATTGCTACTAGGCTTGGTGGTGTATGTTTGTAGATCCCAGCCTTGAGGAGGCTGAGGAAGGAGGATGATAAGTTCAAAGAAATAGAATGAGATAACAAAAAGTGTCTGTTTCCTAAATGACAAGACGATTTCATGAGCATATCACAAAACCGCAGCCTAAGTAGCTAATTAATATTAGGTAAGTTGCTAAATCTAGTGATTGGATGCAAATTAAAATGAGACATTTTAATTTTTCACTTATTGGTATTAGCGAAAATTTCCTAAGTTTACCGTGTTTTTTAAAACAATCTTTACTGGCAAGTGCACGCTGCATCGGTAGACTAAGATCTCTCAGAGAACGGGAATCAAGCCGATGAACACAAATCACAGATTTAGGGAAATTCTGACGCTGGAATTCCTGTTTGTGTGTTTTATACATCCACACCAAATCGTAAAACCTTACGGTCTGCTACATAATGTGGATAGTATATTTATAATAAGGCAATTTATGATGCATAAGAACATGATACATAGCAGTTTATGATATAAAACACTGTAGAATTTTAAGATTTGACAAGCATTGAAGATTAAGATGAGAAGCTTTTCATGAGACCGTTTTCTGATTATCACAAACTTTTAATTTGAAATACTGCAGGGTATACAGGAATGTTTACGTCAGTGTGTTGGGGGTATTTCACTTCCTGTTTCCCACAAGGCCATTCTCTGAGCACAGGCAGGGCTGTCTGCTCTTCTGCAGTAGCTTCTCTTCCCAGACTCTTTATTTGTTGTACATCTTCCTGCTCACCCGCTCCACCCACCCCTCCCCCTCCCCACCACCACCAGCTCTCCTCTCTCTTTTGCTTTTTATTTGGGGTCTTGATTGGTATGTGGATTGTATTATTGTCTCCTTAAAATTGCCCTTGTTTGAAACTGCCCTGAAAGACCTGGAAGTGATTCCAGGAAAGGCTCACGAACGTGACCTTTGCAGTAGTGATCATCACCGTGACATTGCACACACACACACACACACACACACACACACACACAATACTAGGACCACAAGGGCGCTTACTAAACACCAAAGATTCAACCCAATATTTCAAGTCTCAGGAATGAAAATCTCTGGTATTAAGCTTAGAAGTTTGTCGTAGCCACACATTGGGGTGACATCTGTTGGGGTCTAGCCTCAAGGGGTTCGTAATTTCCAGGGTAGGGGCATGTGGGTTAGAAATGTTAGAATAAATGGAGATACAAAAGAAATACAGAGACACAGTATAGTACTGGAGGTCAAGCCAGCACATACTGAATCCTGAATTCACCCGTGTTTGTTTTCCATATCCTTATACACCCCAATCCAAAAATGGGGAGGAAGGCAAAAGACTGCTTTAACGTGACTCAAAGGACAACCAGAACTGTTACTTGCTTCAGTACTTGAGATATCAAGCCACTATTTCCTAGTTAACCTGTCTGATGTTTTAGGCAGGACATGCAGCCACTACACCTTAGACCAAGTATCCTGTAGGCAACCACTCCCTGGGTCAAACCTCCTGTCTTATCCTTGAAGGAGCAGGAATAGGCTTGAATTCTTTGACCTTTGGTCAAAGTGAAGCGGATCTACCTCTATGGGCCATCTTAATATCCAAAACACCAGGTAACCACACCCTGGGTCAGGATATCCTGTTTGTGGCCACTCCTTAAGTCAGACTTCTTGTCAATAACTTGGAAAGAGCGTGGGTAGGTTGTAAGCTGTCTGACCTTTAGTCAGGGTGGAGCGGACCCACGTCTGTGGGCCCCCACAGAAACTTTCGTTTTTTCAGAACACTTCCGGTGCATTTAGGCTCACTGTCATTTGCAAACTGATTCCTAGGATGAAGGTTTCGTATTGGCATGCATTGCGTATCCTTCCTTCTGATTACTGATTAGTTTCCAACCTTCAATTGTCACTCCGGCAATTTTAGCATAAAACGGTTTGACCGTGCTGCAGGACTTGCCGTGGAAATCAAGGCTTGCTTGAAGTAGATGAAAATCATGAAAGAGCAGTGAGTCTTCTTTCCATGAGGAATCCGTTGGTTCGAGTCCTCTTGATTGCTGTAAAGCCAGCCCCTGCTATCAGCTCCCTGTTGGCAGACACCTAAAGGGGTCTGTTTTAATAACAACTGACCAAGAATCAACAGGAACATTAAAAAAAAAAAACTGTAGAATGACAAAAAGAGATTTTTGAAACAGTAGAAAAACAATCACTAAAAATATATTTAAATGACAGATATTTATGACTTATAATTCTCAAAGCTTCGTATGGCTTGAAGATGACATTAAGTACCCAATAACAGTTGGCAAGATGCTTGCTCTTAGGCATCTTAGGCATGAGGTAGACGGTCGTTCGGAGAATAAACTAGAAGGTATGAGTGGTGCTGCCGTGTCGGCGACGGAGTGTAGAAACTGACAAAGCCAAGCATCTCTCCAAGTGCAAGAGAAGGAGCTAGGCAATGTGTGCGCTGGGGCTTCTCTGTCCAGACTGTCTGGGAATGACTTGCGGAGCACACAGAGTTCCCAAAAGTCATTTCACAGGGGGGCGAACTTAGGAGGAAGTTATGGAGAGGACTGGGCAAGTAAGAGCTGTTCCGGGGTCACAGAGACAGGAATGAGAGCAAACCTGTGGCGCGAATAGGAGTAAACTTTTGAGAGATTTCCCAGATGCTCCTAGAGGCGATGCTAAAGACCTTCAGTGTGGCTCTTGACGGGAGGAACTGACACAGTGTTCACACAGAGGGGTCGATAATCGCTATATTCTAAAGCCTAGAGAAATGACAAGGTGAATAAGATGAAAGGAAGGAAGGAGGGAGGGAGGGAGGGAGGGAGGGACGGACGGACGGACAGACGGACGGACGGACGGAAGGAGGAAGGAGGGAGGGAGGGAGGGAGGGAGGGAGGGAGGGACGGACGGACGGACGGAGGAGGGAGGGAGGGAGGGAGGGAGGGAGGGAGGGAGGGAGGGAAGGAAGGATGGGTAAAGAAAGGGAGGAAACGAGCCTGCTCTGCTTCGTGTTTATGTTGGTGCAGTCCCTCGGTACTGACATGTGGCCGCAGTGTGCCGGATAGCATCTCACACTGTAACAGGATACACGAGAGAGTCTATGTAAAGGAAAAATGGTTTGTTTTAGTCTGCAGTCCTGTGGGTCGCTTGGCTCACTTGCTTCCAGGCCTGTGACTTGGCAGTGCTTCGTGGCAGGGAGAGGGCGGCCCTAGAAAGCTGCCGGGACTGAAGGGTCCTCACTTTTCTAACAGTGTCCCTCCTCTAACTCCCATGAAGCTAGGGCTCTATAACTGGATTAATCCAGTCACGGAATTAGAGCTGTCGGTACCCAGTCACACCCGAGAGGTCCCACTTGAACCCAGCCTTGGTGAGGACCGAGCCTTCAACCTGAGCTTTTAGGAAGCATTTTCAATCCAAACCACAGCGCTCAGTAAATCTGGGTAATACCTTAAGGCTGGACGTGTACAGGCACTGCGGAGAAAGGAGTGGCCAACATCTGCCTGACACTTCTGCTGCCGGAGACGACTTAAAAGATGTCACGGGCAAAGCATGGAACAGTATAAAAAAAGATCTGTGTGAGTCATGGGTGGGGGTTGGGTGGCATCTGCTCGATGCACTCAGGTATCCGCTGCGTCGAAACTCTGGCTGAGCCAGAAAGCAGTCTCCAGCAGCCAGGGGGAGCCGCCCATTTATCGAGAGCAATATTCGCTATGACAAACCCTTCCCGTAAAATAAACAGATGTTCGCTAGTCCCTTGACACTTACTGTAACGGGGTTTGGTCTGCATGACAGAGCAGAAAGGACTCTGTCTGAGGAGATGGGAGTCTGTCTGTGCTGTGTGCAGGTGCCCTGTCGAGAAATCCATGGCAGTAATCTAGCCAGTCCCCCAGTATTTGATACAGGATTACCGTCAATTGCTTCCCTCCCCTTTTGCCAGAGGCTTATTTGATCACGAGAAACCTTGGTACATTTCCATGCAAGTAAATGACTTGGTTGGGGGGGGGGGACAAGATTTGAAATTAAGTTACCTATAGGATTCACTTAGCAGTGGCCAGAGGGTGTCTGGTGTTGGCGCCCGGATCTGAGGCACTTGGAACCTGAGTTCAGATCCTAAGTTGCTCACAGTTTCCTAAGAACTTGCCCTGATGTGTGTCCTACCCCTACAGGTGGTGCTTGGCATTTCTCATTCAATGTGAAATTTTACCCACCAGACCCTGCCCAGCTCTCAGAAGACATCACCAGGTATTTGAAAGTTGGCTATGGCAACAGAGGGCACTTTGGGGGGGGGGGGTAGCCGCACATCTCCAGGGGAGTGGTCCAAGGGAGAGTCCGCACACATCTGGGCCCCTTACAGTCATCATCTCTCAGTTGGCAAACAAACGCCACTAAATCAGTACAAGTGTGAGACACCAGGAGGTGGCAGGTCCTCAGAGATAGGCTTCTGTTTCCATCTCCCTGACCTCGTGGGAAAGCGCTCAGAGTTGAGATGCAGTCACCCACCCGCCGCCGCCAAAATGGATGGGACTCAGCCATAAATGGCGCAGCAGCACTGAGTGGTCCTGCTTTGGAGCCTAAATTACAAATATCTTTCTAGGCTTACGCTCTGCCTGTAAGCAACCTGGTACTTCACAGCTGTTGAACAGCCAGAGAGAGATTCAGGGAGGGGGAAGGGACGGCATGGATACATTTAAGAGTTTACTTGCTTTCACGTGCACATAAAAGGGGAAAGAGGATATTAAGAAAAAGATCTAACACATAAATATCCCAGTTTGGAGGTTGAACTTAGAGTGTGAAAGGGATTCCCTTTACAGAACTACACCGTGTAACTTAGTCTGTTCTTACTCCTGTCCCAAAAAGCCAAAGACCGTGGTTGACGGTAGAAATTCACTTGACGCATTCTGGAGACCCGCAGTTGAAGACACGGGTGTTGGTGTGCACGTCCGATGAGGGTCTGTTTCAGAGTTGGAGGCTACCAGCTTATTACTGTGTCCTCCCCCAGAGAGTTGCCCTGTGGCCTTTTTCAAACCACCAATTGCATCTGTGCAGGCTTTACACTCCTGATCTGATCATCTGTCAAAGGCCCCGCCTCCCAGCCCATCACACGGGGCGGGACTAGCGTTTCAGCATTTGGATTCAGGGGTAGAAGTGGGACACAGATGTCCAGGACCATCATTCTCCCTTCGCAAGCCTTTGTAGATATTTCTGCCCGGTGCAGTGAGGTTATGACCAAAGTGACTTAGAAAAGAAATTGCTTCAAACACTTGCTGCACTGAAAAAAAATACTAAAAATCTTTGAGAAGAGTTAACGATTAGTTCCGGGGCATTTCTTTTGTATTTGCCAGAAATCAGAGAAAATTAATTCTTTGTCTATATAAAGACACTTCTGCTCGGGATTAAATACTTAGTTATGACTAATTGTGTGGTTATAGACCCCACATGTGCTTGAACTTCTAAATTCCGTGCACAGTTCCTGTCCATTATGCGTGTCTGTAGAACCTGTGGTGTGCGTAAGAACTCTAATATCTGAATTCCGTAGGCTACCCATCTGTCAGTGGCTGAACTTGCTTCCTGGAGGCCTGCAGACTTCTCTCTCGCACGGAGAGTAGACAGCTACAGCCCTTAAAGCTCGTGGGTGTCGGCACTTAACCCTCAGGATTTAACTGTTAATCTTTATTTAATTCTTTTGATTTTATATTGCTGAATCTGTGAATCTCAAACAGAAGATAGATCCGCTACTAATGTAGCTGCTTTATGACATCATGGCAGAGCTGTGTGAAAAATACTTTTATATTTCTCCCATTTAAAACTTCCCCTGTAGTGATAAGAGTCCCAGATTTCAAGCAGGAGATTTTTATAGAACTTGTATCAGCTAAATTCCAGGAAGATATCACACTAAAATAAATAAATAAATAAATAAATAAATAAATAAGTAGAAAGTCTTTGTTCTTAGAAATGTAGCCACTGCTTTTAGGCATAAAGCAAAGAAAACCAGCCTACGATTCACAATCCCAGAGAACCTAAGAGAGACATACATAGATCTAATCTACATGGGAAGTAGAACAAGACAAGATCTCCTGAGTAAATTGGGAGCATGGGGACCATGGGAGAGGGTTGAAGGGGAGGAGAGAGGAAGTGAAGGGAGCAGAGAAAAATGTATAGCTCAATAAAATTAAATATATATATATTTTTCAAAAAAAAAAGAAAATAAATGCAGCCACTGAGAATAGAGTTCCTGAAACACAGCTGTTGGCTTATCTGAGGCCAGCGTGGTCATATGCAAAGACCTGCCATCTAGATCTTAGCAGGAGCCCTCCCTGAAGGCTGCATGGGGGCTGGTGGTTTTATCTAAGAACATCCTTTTATATTATAGTTTGCCCCGTCTGATTCCCGAGAATGTGTAAAACTAGGAAAATCCATCTTTAAATGTCTTTCACTCTGAGCATGATTGTTTTATTATGAAGAGTTCCTTCTTCTAGGTTCCTTAAGTACCATTTTACCCGTAGTCCCTCCTTATATAGACTAAAATCATATAAATCTTATATATTGTATCTCCTTAGTTGAAATCGTTATGACAGTATGCAGTTGTGTCCTTAAAGAGGTTACTGGCCTGGGAGAACTTCTTTATAAATACTAACTGCTCTTCTTTTTTTTTTTTTTCTTTTTTTTAACTCCTTGAAAATCTCATATATGAATATAATGTTTTTAAAACATGTTTGCCCTGTACGGCCCCTTCCAACTCCTTTCCATGTGTCCTAACGCCAGCTTGTTCTTTGTCCTTTCGGCTCCCGGAAGGTACTACCTCTGCTTACAGCTGCGTGACGACATTGTGTCTGGAAGGCTGCCCTGTTCCTTTGTGACCCTGGCTCTGCTGGGCTCCTACACAGTGCAGTCAGAACTCGGGGACTACGACCCCGATGAGTGTGGGAGCGATTACATCAGTGAGTTCCGCTTTGCACCAAACCACACGAAAGAACTGGAGGATAAGGTGGTGGAGCTGCACAAGAGCCACAGGTCAGTGTGGAAGGCGTGTGTGCATCCGTGGTACACTTCTCAGGGCCACAGGTCAGTGCGGAAAGCCATGTGCATTCTTTGCACACTATTCAGGTCCCCAGCCAGGTTTGGGGTTCAGGGGCTGAGGGCAGGGCAGAGACCACGCGTGGTTAAGATGGTAAACTCCCTCTCAGACCTTCCAGGCTTCCTTTAGCGAGAGCTCCTACAAAACTGTCTCATTATTATTTTCTCGTGTATATGCTAAGAATTTCTCACCCAGCACACCTAGGAGCAGACATGTTTCAGAATTCAGATATATTCAGACTATTTGGATAGTTATATGATGTAGTAACATATCTTTGGGATGAAACGAGAGTCTAAATAGGAGATTTCACTTACGCTCCATAAACGCCTGATCTGCATGACCCCCAGGTGGCTTCATACAATATTTTTAGTACGCCTTGAGGGCTGTATCAGTGCTTTAAAAGGTGCAGATTTTTTGGAGCGTCTCAGCTTTGGGATTTTTGAATTAGGGATGCTCAAACCCGTGTCTGCTGGTCTCCCAGTGAAGGCTTTCTTACACAATAGCAGGGCGGGGAGTGGGAGACCGCAGCCCTGCCAGAGAAAGGGAAAGCAGCTGAGTGACAAGCAGGGGCGGACGTGGCTCATTGCTCTTCGTTTTCAGTTCTGATTGATTGGAGAAGCTTACCGCTTGCTTTTTCCTAATCAGAGGGATGACACCCGCGGAAGCTGAGATGCATTTCCTGGAAAACGCCAAAAAGCTGTCTATGTATGGGGTAGACTTACATCATGCCAAGGTAAGCATTTTCAAACCCGAGTAAGCGCAGACCTCTGTGCTTCAAGCCAGTGTGCCTTCGAAACCCCGTTCCATGTTAAAACCAACAGAGCTCATCGTTGAAGCTAGGTACCCTTCACGGCTCAGCCGTCCATTTACTGCTGTGGCTACGCCTCCCGGGAGACAGCCAAAGATGAAGTCTCTGTTGCCTGTTGATTCCACAGTAACCTTAACCCTGGGCCTCCGAGCCCTACCTCTCTGTGCCCTCCCTGACACAGGTGTATCCCCCCCACTCTGCACTGACATGCCCTTTGTGCCCCCCAGTACTCTGCTTCTGCCCTTTCTCTGAACATAACCTCCCCTCTTTGTCTGGAGAGCCCCACTCTTGTCTGTCTGTCTGTCTGTCTGTCTGTCTGTCTGTCTGTCTGGACTTGGCCATTTGTCTAGTGCCAAGTGTTACATCTTCTGTGTGTCACGTACTGGTTTTGCCCCGTTTTAAAGCCCCTACTAAGCGTTCAGTGAATTGGGGTTAAATTTAAAGAATTCGGGCTCTAAAGTTTCATATCTTTGACATGAGAGTTCTTTAAAAGTAGTGCAGCTGAGAGGGGCCACCCAGGACAAGGGTTGCCTTACTGACCGGTAACGGGTATAGTGATGGAGTGCATGAGCTGCACCTTGGGAAGGAAGAAGTTGGGGTTCAGCCACAGGAGGGTTGCGATCATGGTAGAAGATACAGCAGTTCTGACTCCACGTCGTGTTTTTTTCCTAAAATTTCCTTGTCAACGTTGAGAGGATGAGCCCATGTCTCCACATCTACTACTTAGACAGCTGTGAGCAAACACACTGTTAAAACACAGAGACGCACTTAAAACATTTATCAACAAAACGTGTGAAGTCCGTTGGGGCTCTGGAGACGGGAGCTCGTATTTCAGCCTTGCTCCAAAGGTCAGTCCTGGAAGATCACGAGTGGTTTCTTCTGGCCGGCACTGACAAGATAATGTCAGTCCTGTAAAGGAGTAAGGATTTGACCCCTGACGGATGTCTCCAGTCTCATGGTCTGAAACTCAAAAGAATGTGTGGTTGCAGGCTTCTAAGGCAACAAGCCTCCTTGAAATTCTGAGGCCTAGAGATAAAGAGATTCCAGCTGGCCAAGTTCAAGGGAACATAACACCCTGATAAACCAAAAGAAGGAAGTCTGTGCTCTATCTGTAAGTCCTGTTGATAAGTAGGGGAGCACTTACGTTGACTTTTGGGGAGCAAGGCAAATCTACAGTGAGACTGGGCAGGAAAATGGTAGACATCTGGATTTGTTGTCTATGTGGTTTGGTGGTGATGTCTTTGCATCACCCTGAGCATCACGAAGGACAAGCACTTCTAAGTTTTGTTTTTTTTTTTTGTTTTGTTTTTTTTTTTTTTTAGTTTTTCGAGACAGGGTTTCTCTGTAACTTTGGAGCCTGTCCTGGCACTAGCTCTTGTAGTCCAGGCTGGCCTAGAACTCACAGAGATCCTCCTGCCTCTGCCTCCCGAGTGCTGGGATTAATGTACTAGTAAGATCTCCATGAGCACGGCTGGGGCTCCTGCCCCAGGGTATGCTGGTATATAAAATGCCAAGCTCCTTGACATTTGTCGGTGATCACAGCAGTGAGTTCCTTTTTCATTCATTTTTTTCTACTTATGCCAGCTGTCCATTGGGGTCATGGTTTCAGTAAAACTTAAGACATACAGTGAGATTTTATTTTAAATCCTATTCATGTTTTTTTTTTTTTCCATTTGGCTAAAAAGGTGAGGAAATGATCGTGGAAAGATAGTCTGAGGGGGGGGATGGAGAGATGGCTCAGAGGTTAAGAGCATTGCCTGCTCTTCCACAGGTCCTGAGTTCAATTCCCAGCAACCACATGGTGGCTCACAACCATCTATAATGGGGTCTGGTGCCCTCTTCTGGCCTTCAGGCATACACACAGACAGAATATTGTATACATAATAAATAAATAAATAAATAAATAAATAAATAATAAATAAATAAATTTTTTTTTTTAAAAAAAAAGATAGTCTGAGGGGATGTGGCATGACTTTTGTGTTACGTCATGCACTGTGAGTCCTTTACTACCCAGAAATAAAGATTAGTGCGTCCTTGGGGAAGTGCGACTCAGGGTGTATCATTGCTACCAGGAAAAACCAAGGCACTTAACGTCGCAGTACCTACTGAACTGGAATAGACGGCTGCTTTTTCCTTAATAATATGATTTGAAATTATGTCAATTAAAAATAATGAGTTACGGAAGCAGAATGCAGCCTGTTACGGGATTTTAATCTGAATATTAAACATAACAAATGGCTCGGTTGTAGCCTCCATTTTCTCATGAAGCCATGCTCCATCCCGACAAGAAGGAAATTGACTGAATTAAATTAGTGCTAATTTCTGGTCGTCAATGAGCCGCTTCTCCTGTGTGGACGCCATGAGTGTCTTTGGGCTTAAGATCCCCCTTAAGCATTCTGGATTGAGATCTCGGACCCCCAAAGTGCATCATAAAGAATAAAATCCCCATATTCGTTGATGATCTTGTATTTGGGAAACCTATCGTAAATAATTTGTTTTCGATTAGGAAGTCTATGTGTACTTGTTTGTCAAGATCCATCTTACTAGGCTTTGTCAAATTTATCTATTTGATGTACGATTACGAAGTGTGTGTGTGTGTGTTCCTATCGGATGTCCTATGGGTGAAACATGAAAGGACAGTAGCAGTGTGTAGTGACTCTGCGTGGCCAGAAGGACTAGGTGTGGTAATACATAGTGGCAAGGGCAGGAAGACTGAGTTGTGTAGACCAGAGCTACACAACAAGATCTCAGAAGTCTGTAGGTCAACACTAGAGCAAAGCTCCGGGTTGAGTCCTTGATGCTGCAGGAAAACACGAAGGAATGAATGCAAATGGATTCAAGCGATAACAGAACTCTTTGCCCTCATCGGGACAGGCTGACTGTCACCCCCCCCCCCAGGTCTGTCTGCAGCCAGCACGGTGGGCGTATGAATGCCACCCTAGAGAAATGCTTCAAAGAAGGCAAGGGAAACTTTAATATCAAGGCGCCATGAGATTATCTCAGTCTGTGGCTATGACAGAAATTGTATTACAGAAATATTCTTTGTTGCCGGGCGGTCGTGGCGCACGCCTTTAACCCCAGCCTGGGTGCTGGGTGACTCCATGCCTCAGAATTTCATAGTAAAGACTGTGTGTGTGCGTGTGTGTGTGTGTGTGTGTGTGTATAAGTGTGTGTGTGTGTATAAGTGTGTGTGTGTGTGTATGTGCGTGTGTGTGCACTCTGTGTACAGTGTTAGTGCTCTAAGTCTCATATACTTGGGTGAACTGATTTAACTTCACCAGCCCCCCCCAATAGTGAAAAAAATGCCATCATTAAAATGCTATTATGTCGCAGTGGTGTTTTTTAACAATTGCAGCAGTATTTTTCATATTTAAATCAGTCAATCATGACTTCTGCCGTGGAGTTCTAGATCTTGTACCTGCAGAAAATGGAAATAAGTGGCCTGCTGCTCCATTGTGTCTTCCAGGATTCGGAAGGAGTGGAGATCATGTTGGGAGTCTGTGCGAGTGGCCTATTGATCTACCGTGACCGGCTTCGGATAAACAGATTTGCTTGGCCTAAGGTCCTAAAGATTTCATATAAAAGGAACAACTTTTACATTAAAATCAGGCCAGGAGAGGTAAGCACACGCGTATTTTTCCATAGGCCTTGGGAAGAAGGGTCCCAGGTGCGTGAAGAAAGATAGACTGTTTGCGGGTTCCAAGCATGGTGGGGCAGGGAGAATTATGGTCTCCGAGCCTCTGAGAGTTTGGTGTGGGTCTCTCCAGCAAATAGTAACAAAATGTTCCCTTCTTTTTAGGTTATTTGGGTTGGTTTTTTTTTTTTTTAACCAACAGCATATATTAATGAAAAAACTATTAAAATCCTATTTTAATGTAGAATCAAGACTCCTGCCTATTTTTCATATAACCACACTTCAAGCTGTGGTCAAGAGCTCTCTTTCTCTGTGTCCTGTTATAATCACACTCCCATGTTTTCTCCTATAGATCATGCTTCTCCCTCGAGCCAATAGCTTCAAGAGAGCATGCTTTAAAGTACAAACATTGGAGCAGAGTTCTGAGTGTGAATTGTGTAGCTTTTTTATTAGAGAAACTAATAATAAGAATTATTAATACTCTTTAAGCAACGACCTACACAATGACCCTGCATCTTCCTTAGCGATTTGTACATAATAAGCTATAAATGTCTGCTCCTCAACACACTCTTAGGAGGGAATTAATAAATTAATAAATTTTAATAATACCTAAAATTTCTAATGGGTGTAGTTAGTATATTAAAGGCTGTCAAGCCTCAAAGATCCCTACTCCTTTATGTCTCTGAACACACTCTGATATAATACAAGGATCGGTTCCTAAGATTTTAAGTCTCCAATGGAGTATCTGGGTGGAAAATCGTGTTTAATAATTAAAGTCTACGGATGTAGAAATGGCTCTGAGGTTAACCTCACTTGTTGCTTGTGTAGAGGACCCAGATTCAATTACCAGCACCCACGTGGTGGCTCACAAGCATCTGTGATTCCAGCTCCAGGGAATCTAGTGCGCTATTCCAGAAGTCTCAGGCACTGGTCATGAAAATGGTGCACATACACACATGTACACAAAACACTCACTTGTATGAAATAAACATTTTAAAGGTTTAATATTGAAATAGAGGACAAGAATAATAGTATTTCACATTATACCTGAAATTGCAGAGTTTTAAAATATATTTCTTAAAGATTGTATGACAAACACTTAATGCATACATGCGTTCATTTGAACTCAGACAACTTAGGTGAGCACGTTTTTGTCAGGCCGTAGGCTGTGCATTAGAAATGGATAAATATTATTTGTTCTTCTTTTAAGGCATGTTCCTTTTATTTTCCATTGGGCAGAGAAACAGTGAGCAGTGTGTGACACACGAGACGGTGTCCTGTAGGTGTGAGCAGTGTGTGACACACTAGACGGTGTCCTGTAGGTGTGAGCAGTGTGTGACACACGAGACGGTGTCCTGTAGGTGTGAGTCAGCAGTGTGTGACACACAGAGACAGCGTCCTGTAGGTGTGAGCAGTGTGTGACACACAGAGACAGCATCCTGTAGGTGTGAGCAGTGCGTGACACACGAGACAGAGTCCTGTAGGTATGAGCAGTGTGTGACACGAGACAGCGTCCTGTAGGTGTGAGCAGTGTGTGACACACGAGACAGAGTCCTGTAGATGTGAGTGAGCAGTGTGTGACACACAGAGACGGCGTCCTGTAGGTGTGAGCAGTGTGTGACACACAGAGACGGCGTCCTGTAGGTGTGAGCAGTGTGTGACACACAGAGACGGCGTCCTGCAGATGTGAGTGAGGGTATTGGTGGAGGTCAGATGAGAGCTGACGACGTGAACTGACACCGTGATCTGTGGAAGTTTTAAATAAAGAGATGACACCCAGGAGAAATATTTCGCTTTCCTAAATGTCACAATACAATCCAACTACACAGTGTGACAGGGAGTAGGACCCAGTGGCTCGGAGGCTGTGAGAGGAACAGGAACACGTTTGCAGGAAGGTTCTGGGCAGAACTGGGAAGCTTTGGGCAGAGTGGGATGGGGGTAAAGGTGAAGTTTGCTTTTCCTTCCCAAAGAGTCAGGTTTCTGTTCTCATGAGTGAAACTGACAAATGGTTTTAAACATGGAGGGACGGTTGGGGATATTTTTCAGAAAATCGTCGGGACTGAAATTCCTTTAACGTGGACCCACTCCCCGCTCTTTGTTTTCTTAGTTAAAATTATTAACAGTTTGCCATTTTTTAGCATTTCAAATTTTAAGACACAAAGGGGAAGTGAAGTCAGAGACATCATGCAATAAAGGTCTTTTATTTAAAAGTATCGAAATGACTTGGTCACTTGGTCGGCTTGTTGGGGTAAAGGCAGACTGTAAGGCTTAGTTCTTACACGGTAGACAGTAAGTGGTCACCAGCTGTATACAACTTATTGAAGGCTTTAGGGCATGGCATAAATTTCCCACAGAACAGGACGGGTTCAAAAGGAGGCCCTTATAAGATCAGTTCGAGACAGGGGCAGGCAGAAGAGCAGCCACAGATTAGGGCCGAAGCAATGACGTGACATGAGTCTCTGGAAAGTGATCCGCTGGCAGTGTTGTGGGCTACACGGAGGGCGTGCAGAACGTGGGCCAGGGAAACGTGTGTTATCACGTCAGAGTTGGGAAGCCAGGGTGCATCGAGTTATCAGATGATGGGTGAGTTATCAGAGGCGGCAGAGGGTGGCTCCTCATTGCTAAAGGATGGAAGAGAGGCTGAGTCAGGCTTTGGCCCTGGCAGAAGCAGGTGCAAAGGAACTTCGAGCCCTTATGCTCGTATTTGAGCTAAAAAGGCCAGCTGCGCCCTAGCTCTGCAGACACTAACCAGAGCAGGGAAGAACATCAGAACATCGGCAACCTGGGGGCTGCTGGTCCTGAGCTAAGAGCAGCAGAGACCTGGTCTCTTCCCACAAAGGAGCAGCTAGGAGTGGAACGGGAAGTGAGGCAGCTTTCCAAGGCTGGAAAGGGGGAACTAGGTCGGAAATAAGATGGCTACCGTTTCAGAAAATAAGGCTGCACTTGGTAGGTGGAGGAGCTTCCGGTGCTCTGGAGTTCTGTCAGGAAATAGAGTTGACAATGAATCTGACAGCTTCAAAACACATAGTAGGGATGATGTGGAATATTCCCAGCATTGAATCACATACATGTCTGAGGTGACACCTACGCCAGATATCACAGTGTGTATCCTTTGAACTTCCACAGTATGCTCCAGAAATATGTACACTTATTATATGGCCATAAGGTTTTTGAAAAGAAGAGAAATTCCTCTCTACATCTTCCACAGAGAATGAGATGAGTCAGCAGCCCTAGCCTGGCAGAGGCGTCCTGGTCTTAGGTGTTAGACGCAGGACTAAAGGGTGGTATTTACTCAGCAGCCACAGTTCTTACGAGGACCTTCGGACAACATCAGTTTTCCCAAAGACCACTGCAGGAATGGCCAGCGCAAAGGGCACCGGGAAAGGCAACTTTTGGCATATTTCCCAGTTCCTCCAGTACCTCAGCAAACAGGGAAAAGGGGTCGACGGAAATCATATCTCACAGGCCTGCTTTTAGGATGCGCTCACCTTGCTGATTTGCAACATGAGTTTCTTTTGCTGTGGAAACCAACAGTCGTGCTGGTCTGTGCTTTGGGGTTAAGCCCTTATGTGTAAGGTGACCCTCTGCTGGCCTGGCGTATGACGTCTGCAGACAGACAGCTGGCTGTGCTTCTGTGAAAAATAATACTAAAACATGATACAGAGGGACAGATACTTCACCATGAGAGTGTAAATGGCTGGAGGAGTATCATCTGAAGAGTCTCAGCAAGCTGGGAAATATGAAAATGTGTTCTGCCAGTGTGATGTGTATGATATAGAGGTGTTATCAGTTGGTACTGTGTTATGTATAATATAGAAGCGTTATCACCAGTCGGTACTGTGAAACACCCGGGGCACCTCAGCAATATCACAGAGTGAAGCATCCACTGTGGAGAAAGGATATGTATTTCTGTGTCTGCTATAGACTTTTTTTTTTTTACATTTGCGTTAATCTTCTGAACATTTTAATTCAAGTCCTCGTGCCACTGACAAAACATGGAAACGTAATTTAAAATGAGACCAGAGCTAGTTGATCTCTGGGAGAATCCGCATGTCTCCCTGATCTGAGTTTAGACTGGGCTTCTACAGATTGTTAGCAGTTACGTACACTTCAGGCCTGCTGAGGTGGTAGGTAAAAGACGGCTTAAAATGGGCGGGATTCTGCACACCACGGCCGACTCGGTAATGAAAACAAGGATGATGGGCTGTAAGTGTGTAAATGTTTTGCGGAGTTTTTATTTATAGAATACCAAACTGAACTCTAGTCTTTCTTGTGTGTGTGTTTTAAATATTTCAGTTTGAGCAGTTTGAGAGCACCATTGGGTTCAAATTGCCGAACCACCGGGCTGCCAAGCGCCTCTGGAAAGTGTGCGTGGAACATCATACCTTTTTCAGGTAGGGGGCGAAATGTTTGGGTTTCTTCCTAACAAAATCGGGAGCTGTTGGGGCCACCTGTACCAGGGGAAGAAAGGTGCAGCGGAAAACATCATGGAATTTTCTGTTCCTGCCATCACAACGGTCACTCTTTCTCCTCTCTGTCCCTCTTCCCTTCCTCTGTTTGGGGGGGACACAGTGCATGCCTGCCACTGTACACGTAGAGGTCAGAGGACAACCTTGGGTATCCGCGCTCACCTCCCTCTGTGTTTAATACAGGGTCTGATGTTCACTGCTGCCTACACCAGGCTGGGCTCCCCTGTCCCAGCTCCCTATAGACACGGTAGATCTATCCTGCCCTGGTTTAAGTGGGTTTGGGGAATCCGAACTCGGGTTCTTAGGTTGTGTGGCACCCTCCCCCGCTTTGCTTCTTTTTTGAGACACAGCCCTCTGTATAGTCCAAGCTGTCCGAAGGCTCCCAATCCTCCTCCCCCAACCTCCTGAGAGCTGGGGTCATGGACCGTTGCTCCCATACCCAGCTCAAACAGAGCTCCTTGACAGAAATCCTAAAAGAACATCTGACTAAATCTCAAGAATTCTCCTTAATTTATCTTGTGTTTTCGTCATTTTATTTCATAGTTTTCAAGTATCCTCTCTGTTCCTTATGCGTGTGTGTGTGTGTATGTGTGTCTGTGTGTGTGTGTATAACAGGTCTCCATAGCCCAGGTTGACCTTGAACTCACTATATAGCTGAGGATGACCTTGAACTTTTGTCTCCATCTACTAAATTCTAGGATTACCAGCATGTACCATCATACCTGACTTAATATTTAGTGTGTGTGTGTGTGTGTGTGTGTGTGTGTGTGTGTGTGTGTAGTACTAGGAATAGAACCCAAGGCCCTGGCATACAAGGCAAGCATCCTGCCACCAAGCTATATCCCCTGAACATTCTTTTCTCTTCTGCCCAACCCTCCCTATTTTGCTTCAACTTCTGTATAATAACATTTCTAATTAATATATATTATGCTGACAGTGTTTCCTAAAATTAAGAATTAAACTCAGATTCATTTCATTACACGTGCGTTGAACTGTTAGCACAAAAAGCAAAGCAGTCGGCTTTGAACACCACCACCCGGGCATGCGTTAATTTTCCTGGTGTTTTCTTTAATGCCCTTAGATTATTGCTACCAGAAGCACCTCCAAAGAAATTCCTGACCTTGGGCTCCAAGTTCCGGTACAGTGGCAGAACTCAGGCGCAGACGAGAAGAGCCAGTGCGTTGATAGACCGCCCGGCGCCTTACTTCGAGCGCTCCTCCAGCAAACGTTACACCATGTCCCGCAGCCTGGACGGAGGTAGGCGATACTAACTGGCTCTCCGTAACTCTACGTCAGGGCGTGGGAAACAACCGTGAGCTTTGGGTAAACAGGGTTCCCCCCCATTGCACTCTGGGAAATGACGTCATGTGGATCCGCGTGACTGAACGTCAGGTTCTGCGCATTCATTTCCAAAGACTGACTGTGTCAGTCCGTTTTCTTGTGAGCTCATGTTGGAGCGTGTCAGTACTTAGGGGATGAGGGTCTCGTCTTTCGCAGTCTGAACCTTGAGAAAACATCTTCATTCTGAATGCAGGCCCCACAGATCTAGAGTTCAGTTCTCTTCAGGGCAGATCTTCGAGGATTAACAGGAAGAAAACTCTAAGCTAAATACATCTCTAAAAGTTAGAGAGAATGGGTGTTATCAGTCTGCTTGGGATGGTGGGAGAAAGCATCGCTGTAGCGAATGGCCATCTTCTGTCTAGTCAAATGCGTGTGGCCGGAGATGACCCATCAGCTCCCCTCAGGGAAGCGCAAGATCCTGAGTTTTCAGTAGGGGTGATTTCGTCTACAGTGTGGGCGGGATGTTATCCTTCATGGCAGAGAGCTGTGCTTTCTGCTCCAGGGTGTGCTGCAATAGAACATTTAGGACCTGGCTGTGGGCAAGGCTCTGGCCTCTAACTCGGCGCCTAGCCAAGGCTGGTTCATGGAAGAGTCATCCTGAATGAGTAAAGAATTCGACATTTCTGAAAGGCATGCACAATTTTAATAAGTAAGCCTAAATGGAAAGGGGAAATTAGATCGCCTGGTGCCTCTTAACTCATCTGTATTTTTCAGCTGCTCCTTTCTTGTTGGGTTTCAACTCCCCTCAACCCATTCTCCACACCCCTGGTTAAGAAACAGCCATGTTTGTACTGTGAGGCTGTGTTGTATATATTGCTGCTGGTATAAAAAACAAGACTCATCTAGATATGTAGGAAAATGCATACCACAGCCCGGGCTCTGCGGCCCTCGGTTTTAGTCATGTGAAAATGGATGTAAGACCACCTTCAGCGGGGTTGTTATGAAGAGCAAAGAGAGTGTATGAGGGAGAATCTCCAATGTTTATATAATTGTCACTGTGACTATGCTGATAATTACTCTCAAAGGCTTTGTAGGCAGGCCACAACATTAATCACAAACAGCCCTCATATCCGAAGGCTCTGAGTCTATAGAAAACCAAATGCAGATTGAAAATGTGGGTTGGAAATACGAGAGACTCCAGGGTGGGTGGGGATTAAACTTACCAAACAGGCCCAAGACCCTAGGTTCAGTTCTGTCCCTAGCTGATAGGCAATGGTTAGACAGACATACAGACAGCTGATGGATAACTATAACACTTCCATTATAACACTATAATTTCTTCCCCTTAAAAAAAATCACATCCATATGAATGCACAAAGGCATTTCATCATTCTCTAAAACATGCAATGTGATAACGACTTATGTATCATCTTCATAGTGTTCAGCATTAAAAGCAGTAGAGATAGTTTAAACACTAAAAGCCGACGTGCAGATTGTATGTAAAAAGTGTGTCATTTTCGGTAGGGACTTGAGCATCTCCAGATTAAGTATCCAGAGAAGTCCTGTAACAATCCACAAGAGATGTCAAGAGAGAATGCTGCCGTTTTGTATCTTTCGATATTTCTAGACCCAGGACCATTGGCAGTCGAATGAAGACGTGAAAATCTCCATGTTAACACCAAAGCTTTTCTGGTCTTTAGTCTGCTAGAAATCTGTATGTTCTCTGAGTCCGTACCTGAGGACGTTCCGTAGAGTCATGCCTTTCTTTCTGCTGAGTGCCGCTGGCGTGCGCCCGAGGGATACGGCTGTTGTCACTGTTGTGTTCCTCGTCGTGGCCTTTGTGTGAAAACGGTTGTTGGGCAAACAGAAGACAATTGTGAAATCAATGTACTAATATCATGCTGTCTCTTCCTTTCTGCCCAAAAGTGATGTTAGTATGTGTTGTCTCGCTCTTTGTTGCCCTGCCAATTCCAGAATGTTTTCTGCTGCAGCGCCGAGTGCCATGTCTGCATGCTGGAACGTTCCGCTGCTTTTTCACGCGACAGCGGCCTGTTTATAACAGCATAACCGGCTGCTAAAATAGCGAGCTTTCCATCAGCATAAAGAAGCGGAGAATATCTTAGTGAAGGGTTTCATTCAGAATCCTTTCCTGTTCTGTTTTTATTGGCGTTTTAAAAGCCCTATCTTTGTCCGTGATCAACTGTGGGGTGTTTGAAAAGAAGCGTTTATAAATTTCAGTGTGTTTTTTTTTTTATGAGATCTAAGCCCTAAAAGAATAATTAGCAAAATTTAATATTGATCATAATTAAGCCTTGAACTGAATGAAGCATCTTTTACTAAGACAACAGCTGGGATGAAGGCTGAACCTCACCTATATTTGCATATTCCGCTTCTGCATGGTCTTTGACTGCTAGCAACGTTTGTCTTGTTTTCCCCCAAAGAGTCGAGGTGAGAATGAAGTTCACATGCATATCCTCATGGCAGTCTGCTTCAAATGCATTGGAAACTAAAACATCTCCTTACATCAACTTGGAGGAATACCCTTCTAAATTATAACCTCTGCCGAAATTAGTCAATTTTGTTACTGTGCTTTGAGCATATTGTTGTGTTGAGTATTGTGGAGAGTGATGAACTTTCCAACATTGAAAAATAATACAGAAATAATCCATTGCTCCTTTGGTGGATGGCACTTCCGTGGATATGCTCAAAGTCACGTGATTAGAGTATTTGCTGTAGATACTGCTAGGAATTGTTGAACTGGGTATGAATATGGTGTGAGTGCCCAGCCAGGGGTAAAGCCAGGCTCCGTATGCTCACTGGGGATTATGAGAGCGTTAGGCGCTATTCTAGGGTTCAAGACGTGTGTGCATTTAAATCATTTGAAAACACTGGTCCAGGTGATGCAGATAGTGCTTGGGTAAAAGTCCCCGCAGCTCGCCTCCGCCCCGTGCAAACCAGCCTGCTAGTTTACACCGTTGTTTTTCCTCCTAGCAGGGGTGCGGTGTGGCGTTGTCGTGTTCCGTCTTCTGACTTATCTCTTTGGGATTCTATCCCCCCCCCCCCGATTGTATTTGCTTTTAGCCTCCGTGAATGAAAACCATGAAATATACATGAAGGATTCTATGTCTGCTGCAGAGGTTGGCACAGGCCAGTACGCCACAACAAAGGGCATCTCTCAGACCAACTTGATCACCACTGTGACTCCAGAGAAGAAGGCTGAAGAGGAGCATGGTGAGGAAGGGGACCGGAGGAAGAAGGCCGAGGAAGCCACCCCCGTCCCAGCCCTCCGGCTCGAGGGAAAGGTACAGCTGCTCGTGGCTGCCTTCTCGAGCTGTCCTCATCTTTACAAACAGCTCGGTGGTTCTGAGACGGTAGACCGGGGAGGGTGGGGGGGCTCGAAGGTGGAGGAGCGTTCAGACGCCAACACTGACCATGTTCATGCCGGGGTTTACATTATTATGATGATTATTATTATTTCGGCATAGTCTCGTAAAGTGGTTTTCTTAACTTTTTGGAAAACTTTTTAACAAGGAATGTGTTTTACAAGACTTTCAACAGCTGTTCTGGGGTGATCTCTTTAAAAAAAAACATTTTAGGGGGTGCAGTACTTTTTTTCTGTTTGGACTCGGGTTTTACAACGGTCACTAAGGCTCTTGTCGGTTTCTGGCCCCGTTCTCCTCCTACCCGGGGTGGTATGTTTCCTTAGACACTAAGAAAACACCCCTCCGTTTTTTCCTGATGGCAGGAACAGTGACGTCGTCCCACTGTAATTTGCAAAGGGGTGGCCTGCTGCAATGAAAGAGAAAAGTGAACTTGACGGGATAGTCATTTTAACTCGTTGCATTCTATGGCATCACTTCCCCCAGATGAAATTGCTTAGAGATTAGTTTTTAGTTTCAGATTGATCTCTAGTGATCTGATACTAGGGCAACTCCCTAGCAGAACATTTGAAACTTAGCGTATCTGGGAGGCTCGTGTGCATAGTGACAACGGGAACCGAGAGCCCCCCTGTAAAATATGCAGGACACAAAGAGAGGGAGGCCAGGAAATGAATCGTCTGACAGCCTCTGGGTTATCCTGAAACGCCAGTGCATTTGATGCCCCGGTGCTTTGTTACATAGACATGTTCTTGGGAGAAAAAAAAAAAAAAAGAACAGCGCATGGGACCGCATGGGGCTCCTTCCGGTAAAAACTCAACAGCCTCCTAGGCAGGTAGCTCATCGGATGAATGATGTCTGTTTCTGCTTCTGCGAATGTGGCTTAGTGGTAAAGGGCTGTCCCAGTGTGGGGGGACGCTTGGTTTAATATCCAGCACCTCAGAAACCTAAACTGAGCAAAATAACACTTTCTATAGAAGATGAAAATATTTCAAACCACCCAGTCTGCGATTCTGCTTTTCCTTTTAGGGACAGATTCTTAGTTTCCCAAACACAAGAACCAGCACAGAGTGAAAATGATGACCGCCTTAGGATCGCTTCTGCCCTCCAGATGTGCTTTGTTCCAAATCTGGCTTTTACCCCCTCCTCATCACTTAAACCAGCATAGATCTGATAACTGGAACATGGTTGGGGGGTCGATGATCCCCCTGGAGTGCAAACATGTACCGTTCTTATCCCTGGTCAATTCTCATGGCTGGGAAACTACACCCAAATGGCAGATGAAAAGGAAGGCTATTTCTGTGTTTGCTTCCAAAGTAGGTTCAGGTTTCCGGAATCCTTTCCCTTTGTTTCTGAGAGACTGTCCTGCGACCTTGGCATGTAGGAAGGAGCAGCACCCATCCGTCTCACTCTGTGCTGCCGCTGCTTTGGGGGAAATGGAAGGACATAGAAACTACTACCTTCATAACTCCAGTCCCCAGGAAGACCGCCTTTCAGCAGAGTCTTCCCGTAGGCTGTGGCTGAGACCTAGACCTGACTGAGTGCTGTCTCTGCTTCCCCACCGCAAAGCTGTCTTCCCCAAAGCACTTTAATACATGGCCCCGAAGGTTAAACCCTAATCTTATGCTTTTCAGTCTTCAAAAAGCTTCATAGAGGATGCTTATTTTTTAACTAAAAGGCACTGCTATGATGCTCATTTTTGAACCAAAATACCCTGCTGGAGATAATGTTTAAAAGACTATTTCCCAGGCTGCCTGGGGAGAAGCATGTTGCTATGACCTAAGGCCAAGGCAATGTCTCACCCCCTAGGGAGAGTGGCCTTCACAAAGGGGTGAAGGGGCCCCGCTTGTAACATCCGCATTGTTCTTAGCTGAGCCAGATTTGCACAGATGCCTGTTTAGTATACAATGTTTAACATCAAGTGTGAGGATCAGAGAAACTTTTCAAAGGCTGTCAGAGCCAGGGAAACTTTTATCCGGGCATTGTGTCTGTCCATCCCTCCAGCCTCAGGTGTGCGCTTTCTCCCCCTTTGTTGCTCTGTTTATCTAAGTCAGGATTAGACAACCACGACCAAACAGGCTGAGTCATTTTCATGCTCTCAAGCTGTTAGGTAACACACACACACACACACACACACACACACACACACACACACACGGCAGGGGGAGCAGCTAAAGAAGGCTATCACAAGCCCCGCATGCCTTGGCCTTGAACTTACGGTATTTGAGCCCCTGTGCTTTGCCCCAGCCTGTTAGGGACTCCTTGCTTCTGGCTTTGGCCATTGAGGCTGCCAGTGTCCCAGAAAATGGAGTCGATTCCCCAATCTCATACATGCATCTCGCACAGGGGGCATTCCAGAGCATGCTTCATCGATTGCGTGAAGATTCAAACCTCAATCGTAAACATACCCCTTTATGTTTAGAGAAATCGGGAGGCTGAGAAATTGCGTCTTTCTGATATTTATAGACAATATATAGCAGAAACTAAACACGTAGAAACCACGTTCCAAGAAAACTAAGGTTTTGTTTGTTTGTTGTTGTTGTTTTGTTTTGTTTTGCTGGCTTGCTTCCTTAAGCCACTGTTATGAACCAAAACCCTGTTCAGCCACCTAGATAAAGAAGCCAAACTGGATGAATCCGAGGAGCTTCCATTATCTGTGAGAACCAGAGATCCCGAAGTGCTCACTCCTGCCCTCCTCATTCACATCTGTGACTGCTATCAGACAGGAGCGGGGCCAGAAACTTCTTGACTAGGAAAGCCGCCTGTTTGGGCTGTAATTGGCTAGCCAAGGACAGGAAGGTGACTAGACATTCTGTGGCCACAATCAGAATTTGATTTGTATTTTCATTTGGTGAAGCTGATCTGTAGGGCGTCGCTGCTGAAAGTCTTGGTTCTCATTGATTAGAGTTCATTGATTAGCTCTGCCACACGTGTGTGCGGCTCCCTCACGGTGACTTCTGTCCTGACCTTTGACAACATCTCGGCCTGTGTGTGACGGTCTACCCGGGGGAGTCACCGTCCTCCTGGGCGTCGCTGCCAAGCAGCGGGGCCGCGTGAAAAACTCTTGTTTGCCGGTTTTATGTTGATGCCCATGAGAAAGTTAACTAACTGCACTTTTTCTTTTTGTCCTTTTGCATCCATGTTTACCGCTTCCTGTCCTCCTCCGTCCCTTCTCCATCAGCCACCCAGGCATGGCACCGACTCATGCCCCTCATCACCCCCAGCAGCCCACCTTGACCCTGCATCTCCCACGGAGCTGCGCAGGAGGTGTAAGGAGAGCGAGCGCCCCTTTCCAGGTTCCGCGCTGCCCAAAGTTGAGCCAGCCTTGGAGTCCGACGGCCAGGGGAAGCCTTACTTAGGGGACCAAGATGTGGCATTTAGCTACAGGCAGCAGGCTGGCAAAGGAACCACGTTCTTCTCCTTCTCCTTGCAGCTCCCCGAGTCGTTCCCCTCGCTCCTAGATGAGGACGGGTACCTCTCGTTCCCCAACCTGTCTGAAACCAACCTCCTGCCCCAGAGCTGGCAGCACTTCCTGCCCATCCGCTCGCCCTCCCTCCTCCCCTGCTTCCTCTTCATCTTCTTCTTCCTGCTGTCTGCCTCCTTCTCCGTGCCGTACGCCCTCACGCTCTCCTTCCCCCTGGCTCTGTGCCTCTGCTTCCTGGAGCCCAAGGCGGCCTCCTTGAGCGTCTCCCTAGACAAAGACCCGAGTGACAGTTCAGAGGAAGAGGTGTGTACCTCAGCATAGAACACACGTTCCCTGCGTGTTCCGTGCTTCAGTCCGAACCAGTGTTAGCTGGCTGCTGCCACAAGTGGTCCTACTTTCAGAGCCTCATTTATTGTCTGTGCCACTATGTGGAGGGCTTTTTTGTGTTGGGGAGTCCGAGCCAGGCCCCAGGCTTAGGCACAACACCGTGTGGATGTAGCAGCCCATAAGCCACCCTGTAATCATTCTGCTACCCACTGAGTCCCGCATTGGCCAATCGCTCTGCCCGAATGCAATTTCGGAAAACCCATTCACGGCGGAAAGGGCCATGTCTTGGTTACAGATCCTGCTCAGTTGCCATCTAGTAAATTAAATCTCGTAATAATACAGATGATAAGATGCAAATATGGGGGGGGTGACCTAGTGATTGTACCAAAGGTTACATATCATTGTGTTCGAGGAGCTTTCCCAGACTGCCCGTTTCTCCTCCCCCCTAGGATCCAAAATGCCTCCACGGTCCTGTTAGATTTGAGTTCTCACTGTTGGCAGAAGGAATGCCTACAGCAGTTGATGGTACCTACATGGCACCACTCACTGGTACAGCCAGAAGGAGGGCCAGAAAGAACCACATGAACCGCATATGTCATGCTGCAGTGTTCAGAAAATGTTAGGACAACTTTTATGTGAGGGTTTCCCCCTCTCTTGCGCTGGCCATACTTGTGGATGTATCGGACAGCAGCATGAGACCCTTAGTGTCCACATTTTGCAGCGGGGTGCAGCCAGGAAATTGGCTTAATGTTTCTAACCCTGGGGCAGGTCTTCTTGTAAAGGGAGAGAACCTGAACTTGGCAGCCCGTCCCTCTCCCTCATCCCAGCCACGACGTGAGTCTGAGCAACTAGCGACATTTTCCCTCTTAATCGCTCTCCTCCCTGCGGGCTCCACGGCCACGTGAACAGCACAGCAGCTTTTCTGAGGACTTCAGTCAGCACAGGAGAAAGAATAGAAGCTGACCTCCACAGGCCCTGGCTGTCCTGTCTTCCCTCTCCCACACCTCTCCCTAGGAGCCCCAAGCTCACCTCTTCCCACAAAGCAAGCATTTTATGTGACAGGAGACAAGCCCAGGACTCCTTGCCTTAGAAAACACAGTCAAGGCCGCACTATAAGAAAGGGAGGGGGGAGGGGAGGGAGAAAGCCTATTTAGTCCCGTGCTTAGTCAGAAATCACAATTTGACCTGCCCCGTTAAATGTATGGCGCAGCTAAAATGTGCCGGTTCCTATATTTAGGCAATTGCATCTGCTTCTGAGCAGCAATGGGGAAACCGTGAATGGTCTCAAAGGTGTTTTACAGGGCAGCATAGGCTTTTCAGCTCAGCACTGCCTAGGAGCCCTTTTCCCAGGATCGTGGTGTGTGTGCAGAAAGATAACGGTCCCTGCCGCAGCAGACATCGGGAACCATTTTAAGTCTTAGGCTTTACTCTCTCTTTCTCACGGCTGCGACACTATCAGATGGTAGAGGACTAGCGTGCTGCAGTCGGGAAGAGAACATTATTTACAAAGACCATTGGCAGGCTTCTAAAGAGACTTACTTTTCTTTTAGCAAAAGAACAAGCCCTGAGGCTGGAGAGATGGCTCAGTGGGTAAGAGCGTTGCCTGCTCTTCCAAAGGTCCTGAGTTCAATTCCCGGCAACCACACTGTGGCTCACAACCATCTGTAATGAGGTCTGGTGCCCTCTTCTGGCCTGCAGACATACACACAGACAGAATATTGTATACATAATAATTTAAAAAAAAGAACAAGCCCTGATGCTCATATACATGAATCACCCGTCAAAAAAAAAAAAAAAAAAAAAAACACCTAAATTCCTGCTTTATGCTTCTCCAAATTCCGAATCACCGTTTGGACTTTTCTGGTGCTAACCACAGAGATCTTGTGCCTAATCCAGGGTTTACATCTTGTTGGAGTTGGTGCATGAGAAATAATGTTAAACTTGGGCATGTCTGCATTACATCAGCAAAGCAAATCACAGCAGCCCCCGTTGGAAGCTAGCGGGTGCCGAATGGGAGCTTCCCAGGCCTCGCTGTCCTGAGTGTCGCAGACCCGGACACTGGGTCGGCTCTGACCACGGCAGAGGTCGTGTGCCCTCTTCTCCAGCCTCCTCTGCCCATTTTAGCACTTCTGCCACCAGGCTTTGGATGCGGGCATCTGCCCGATGTTGACTCTTAACCCCGGGTGCTAAGAGCCGCACACTGTACCTCAGCTTAAGTTAAAGAACTCCTATCTGGGTCATCCCATTTCTCAAACGCTGCAAACTTACAAGGCTTCTTTTATCCTGTTGGCCTCGAGTGCCCTGGCAGCTAAACAGAGTGACGTTTTAAAATACAGTTCATCTCTGCCACTCTGGTTTCTATAAGCCACCAATGCCATGACCCTTTCTGTGCTGTAGAGAGTCAGTCACTGCCTTTCTCAAAACCAAAACCTAGCATCCAAACACACCATCATTTCCAGCGATGAAGCAGTTGGTCCAGCAGTCTTTCTTCTGTGCTTTCAGAATGGCCAAACAACAGGCAGAATATCCAATCACCTCCCACCAAACACTGAGAGGAAGTTAGTTTACCATAACATAGGATGTAGCTACGTATGAATTCCTGAGTAATTTTTTGGAATGCAAAGAAAAGGGAGATTTACTTCAATATGTAAGAAAAATTAATTCGTCAATATACTATATATCTTTCAATTGTGTAAAGATTGTATTATACAATAATTCATGACATGATATCCTTTTGCAGCTTTGTATAGTCACAGGTACATATTATATATTATAAAAATATAATAGACTATAATATAACAGCTGCTACCAAGACTGCTCTATTCAGTTATTATTTTTGTTGAAGCTTAGGCTGTGAAGTAGGAATGCCAGCGAGTCCACAGATGAGTTTTTTAGATATAGGATCCCATCACTCCATCTTTTTTGGTTCTTGAGCCTTCTTACAGACCCATGCCCTGCACCCGGTTTCTGAGGGAGTTTAGATATGCCCAGCAACATTTTGATACCTAGGAAAAGCAGAATAATAGCTAACAACACGTTATAGTTCAGTTCATTGGCAACTTGCAGTTCTGTGTGGTAGGAATTCCATGAAGCATTTGACATCCCTTATACAATATAGACACAGCTGTCATTTCCATTTTCCAAGAAGAAAATGGGTTAGGCCATGAAATACGCACCACGTCCCGCAGGTTTGAAAAGCAAGGATTTGAACAGTCTGACATCAGACCCCTTACTCTGACCTGCAGCTGATCTCTACTGCTCAGATGTTGGAAAGTTCATGAAGTCAATTTTAAAACAGTAAGGAAGACTTCTTAAAATAGGAAGAGAATTTCCTCAACAAGGTTGGGCGTGTTTGACACAGCTAATTAAAATGACCGAACATGTGGTTCTTATTTCCTTGAAGGCCTAAAGCATCTCCAAGCTACTCTGCCTTTTGAACTAGTCTGAGCCATTCTTCCTCCAGCCAACAGTTGTGGAGGCCCTGGGGTTAGGATAGCCGTGCCTGACTCCTGAAAGGGAATTTGTAGACACACCTGCTCCACTTTTTAAATGGAGATGGGCGATCAGGTCGAGAAAAGTCTGTTGAAATTTCCCCTCCCTTCTCAGGCACACCTGCCGAGGGTGCAGGTCAACTGCTTTTGTTTTAGGAATATGTGCAGACAGAGTTTGGGATGGTGTCAGCAAGCTGTCCTGGCCAGAGATGGGTCAGCAGAGATGAAGCTGTGCTGGCCGCCATTTTGAACATCCCGTGTACATGGCAGCTGTACCAAGAGCCACAGCTCTACAGCCGCTCTTTGGCTGAGGGAAATGTACTCATGATTGGATTTATGGATGAGAAGTTGGTTTGTATTGATGGCTCATCGTCAATACATAGTTTCTGTCTTAACCCCTTTACACACATTAAAACACATAGACATTAAACGCGAACCCTGAAATGGGCTCTTCCCATTCCCCCATAATCCCGGTTCTGGCGAATGCTGTGCTTTGTTTGGTTCATCTCTAAGTAGATGTCTCTTTCTCTCTCTGTCTCTTTTATTATTGCCATCATCTGCATCATCTGCATCATCTGAATGGTCCTTTTGCAATGAGATGGTTAAATGCATACTTGACTGTCCCTCTTTATCTTGGAGAGTGGAGCAAAGTGAACGACAGAGCTGTTACCCATTAGCAAGGTTATTTGAAAATGACGTGTTTTTTTTTTCTATATAAAACACATGCCTGTGAATCACCACTGTACACTCGCTCTGGTCATTAATTGGTAATGCAGACAGCCTGGTGGTCCTAGTGGGTAGAAATGAACCAATGGTATAAATGAGGGGCTGAAAGTCCAGTGACTGTTATAGTAGCTATTAGCATAAATCAAAATTCATTGCCTTTCTAATGTGGCATTACTAGAGTAAAATATGTATGAAGGAACCTCCATTCGATTTGCGTTAAACATTTTTTAAGGAGAGCTTTTAGGGGCATCAGTGGAAAAGGGGTGGGGTGACAGATTGATGTTCCGAACAGTGAATGCAAACAGGTCAGGGTGGCCCACTGTGCGTGTGCCTCGGGTCTTGACCTCGGAGGGGGCTCTGCTGAAGACCCCAGGCTCTGCTGCCTCTTCTTTGCTTTGCTCATGCCCATACCCCCGTGGGAAGGTAGGGTACCACCGACCCCAGGGAAATAGAACATGAATGGTTCCACCAGTGTGTGCCCTGTCTGACCAGATGGGTTTGTTTTCTGTCCCTGCTTCCTCCTCGGATCTGATTGCCTCTGTGATCGACAGACGGACAGTGAGCGGACAGACACCGCTGCCGACGGGGAGACCAGTGCCACCGAGGTGAGGCTAAAGACTGGGCGGTGGGGGGCATTTCCTAGCACGGGTGCTTTGTGGGTGACTCTGGGTGCAAGGTTTCTCTGGATCCGCTTTTGGGGCTGGAAGGAAATGATGACTTCCAACAAAAACTGAAGATGTTTTCTTTTGCTTTCAGTTTTGTGTGTTTGTTTTTGCCAGAGCCGGTGGTTCTCAGGCTCTGACTTCTGTCAGAATGGTCCGAATGGTCTCCCCATCGTGTTTCTGGTTGTGAAGGGCTGAGGCAAGAGGGGATTTATAGCTCCAACCAGTTCCCAAATGCGTGGGCGTTTGATTTGAGGATTCCATTCTGAGAAGCAGTTACCTAACTGACAATACCTTAAAGGCAAAAGAGGACCAGGGGAGGTGGAGGAGGAGGGTGATTCTTCTCCTTCGGATAGGAGGTTGTTTATATATGCTACCCATGATGAGGGAGAAAGATAATTGAATTAGCTTATTGGCTGGATACAGATATATTTTTAAACCCCCAATGGCCATCTAATACTTATTAAAGTAATACTTTTCTTAGCACATGTTTGAGCCCATGGCTATAACACAAGTCACTCTCAGGAAACGAATTCTTTAAAGAAAAGAAACCAAGAAATCACTGCTTGTAAAAACTGCAGTCAGACAGTGTCCTGTTGTTTCTCCCGACTTAAGTCTTCAAGATGTATTAAACGTGTGTGTGGCTTGTCTATCTTAAAATCCGCCCTACTCACAGCAATTAACATTCATAAAAGTGGGGCGAGAGAGCTGGCCCAGCAGTTAAGACCGAGTCCTAGCCGCACATCAGGCAGCTCCCGTGGAATCTGGTGCTTGGGGCCTCTGCAGGCACCTGCGTGCATGCGCGCACACCCTCACATGCATATACATGTGGTTAAAAATATATGTAAGTGTTTCTTAAATACTGTAGGAACAGTATCTTTATAGTCATGGAAATCAAGATGCTCATTTCTCACAGCGCTAGAAGAATTTCAGCTTTGCTTTATGGCAAAGTTTACTTTAGGCCTTGCGTCATTTTTTATGTAATTGAATAGTAGCCGTTCGCCGTAGCTTAGGGAAGGGCTAGAAGTGCTACCAGTCACCTCCATTTATCACTTCACTGGAACTGTCTCCAGCAAAGCATTATTTACAAAGGTATTTTGCAAGTTCTCTTCCTTTGGAACTACCGTGGCTTATACATCGTGACATTTTAAAGTAGTAGATAATAGAATAACGCCATTTTCCACATTCTCCTCGGCAGCCGTAGCTGAGTGGACAGGTTAATCATTTTCTTTGCCAAACACAACTGCACCTTGAACTGTAAGAGATGGTTGTAAGTAGCCACAGGGTGGTGCATTCAGTAGATAGCTTGCAGCTGTGAGTAGCCACGGGCTAGTGCGTTCTAGTAGATAACTCTCAAACCAGGTCTCTAGTAGAAACGAGCAATGACTCAACAACGATGCCTTAAATCTCTGTGACACTTTTCAACTGTGCTACATAGCACTAAAGCAGGCGAGGACCCTCCATCATCTTGCATACTGTGACCCAACGCATAGATAAGAACCAGCATGTCACCTGTACTGGCTTGCTGTCCCGTTGCCCTGTGTACACATCCCCTTCCCTTCGCGTCACCAGCGTTACTGCATTATGGGATGGGCAGAGAAAGCACCTTGGTCCCCAAAGACGGATAAGAAATCTGAGACCAGTTCAAACATGGCTGCCCACACCTGTCGTGCCAATGGGTGGAAAGCCGAGTAGGTAACAATGCTGAGCTCTGGGCAGACCGGATGCTCTGCTTGTCTCCTTCCTTGAGCATGACCTCAGCTCACCTCTGGTTTGACTCTGGGTCTCACACGGGCCTGAAGACCAGCCTCAGATCGGAGAGCTGTCCTAAGAAACACCTTACGTTTCCGGTCCACGGGCCGTGGCCCACTTGCGCAGTTGCTGGTGCTCGATGTTAGGCCCTTAAATAAGCCAGGCCCTTAAAACTGGAAAAGGAAGAGCAATGAATTGGCTGTGAGATGGTTTAAATGGGTATCTTTTTTATTTTATTTTTTTATTTAAAGAAATACCCTGTTTCATTTTAAAGAAAGATACAGTACTGGTATTGATGGTAACTGATTTTGTTTATAAATTCTTCCTTATCCTGTAATGTCAGTCTTTTCCCCTCTAGAACTTGCTCTAGGCATAAAGGTTCAGCTGGGGGCGATGGTTCACACCTGCAGTCCCAGCGCTGTCTAAGCTGAAGAGGGTGCCCTTGTCTCAGCAACAGAGGGGGCTGGAGAGAGGGCCCAGTACTTAAGAGCACTGGTCACTCTTCCAGAGGACTCAGTTTTGATTCCCAGCACCCACATGACAGCTCGTGACCATCTGAGACTGCAGTTCCAGAGGATACAAAACCCTCCCCTCTAGCCTCTGCAGGCACCAGGCACACAAATGGGACACAGACATGCATGCAGGCAAAACACTCATACACCAAAAATATAAAATAATAATAATAGTAGTAGTAGTAATTAAAAACAAAGTGTGTGAGCACACAAAGTGAATTCAAGGCTCCACACAGTTTTAAAATGCAGGAGCCTATGCGTTAAGCTCTTTGAGCTGCAGATCCGTGGTCTACAAACTGAAGTTACAAGAGCTGACATGTAGTCATTGTGAGGTCTTGCATATAGAGGGGCTGTCGTTTACCCATAATGATGGCCATTCTTAGGAATTGTGAACTAGGTCTCCAACTTCCAGACTCCCAGACCTTTGCTAATGTTCAGTAAGAATAACCTGCCAACCCCTGACCCCTTCTCTAAGCATGTGCATCTATCTGCCTGCTAAAATGCCAGAGCAGCCCTGAGCAAAGAATCCATTGCCGCTTTGTTCCAGTGATGTTTCATCATTTGTGTGTAGGGTTATGCTTTGCGTCTAAGAAGGCACTGCGTCCGAACGCAGGGGTACCGTAGGGCTCACAACCAGCCAGTGTGTGTAGACCAATTTACTTTAGAGAAAATTGCTTGGTAAGCCTTTATCTCCCACTCTTTCTTGATGCTGCCAGTCGGACCAGGAGGAAGATACAGAGCTCAAGGCACAGGTAGAAAATTAAAGATACTCCCCCCCCAAAAAAAAAAAACACCAAAAACCCAACCCAGACCAGTGTGTGATGAGTCGCTGTTTGTCTGCCGTGTCCAGACGTTTTCCGCATGTTTCCCTCTCGGCTGCCATGCCGACGGCGTGTGACGTGGCGTTTGTTCCCGTGACTACTGTGTCCCTTACCTCTCCCTCTCTTCTCCACTTTTTTCAGAATAGTCTGATTAAGCGAATAAAGGGTGAAAATGTGTATGTCAAACATAGTAATCTTATGTTAGAGGTTGGTATTGGTACGCACCAGTGCATGCCCGTGTGTGTTGTTGATCCCTCTCTGTGGCCTACGTGTGGACTTGAGCCATGATGCATGACCTGTGTGCTCAGCTGGGAGTGGCTGGGGATGATTAACTCTGATCCCTTCTTCTCTCCTAGACGTAGATCCTTTTCCTGTGTGTCCTGTTTGTTTTAACCCTCTGGCTACATATAAACGTCCCTTCTTAGAATTTGCCTCTAACTGTTTTTTTGTTCATTTGTATGCTGTGTGAAACGAAATTATTTTTCTTTCTCTTTTCCCTTGGAAATCCTACATTTTCACTAGAGCGTTTGTGATAGTGTCTTGAACCCTGATCCCAGATCGGTTTCCTTTTGACTATTAATGTGTGTGCTATATTTTAAAAAAAGAGAGAGGCAGGCATAGAAAACCACGGTGAGAACTTGACTGCCGGAATCTTCTCGCCCTGACCGCAGGAGCTCGATAAGACTCAAGACGAACTGATGAAACACCAAACCAACATTAGCGAGCTGAAGAGAACCTTCTTAGAAACCTCGACAGAAACTGCCTTAACCAACGAGTGGGAGAAGAGGCTTTCCACGTCCCCTGTGCGGCTGGCTGCCAGGCAGGAGGATGCTCCCATGATTGAGCCGCTCGTGCCCGAGGAGGTCAGTATCTGGGCTGTGGGCTAACTGTCTTCTGTGCAGTGGTCTGGGACTGCGAAAGGGGTGTGGCCAGACCCGGAATGAGGGGCTCAGTGCTGGGCGGAGAGCGCAGGGGGAGGAAGAGCGAGTCCCAGCATCACTGTGCTAAGAATGACCATGGCCAGGCAAGAGCAGGGAGGACGCTGTGCACATCACCGGGGTCTTACTTTTCATGTCGGTTTCGCACCTGGGAGAAGTTGATGATCTCTTAGTGAAGCGACACTGTCTGTAAACATACTTTCTTCTCCTACGTTGAGAACTGCCCCTTAAAAACCCGTTTCTTCTTCTCGTTAATTGGAAAATGAGGCCTGACAAGATTGTCTGGTGTTTAAATTGGGGGGGGGCGGGGAGATCAGAAGTTAACAGCATTTCAGAACAGATCAGTACTCTGGCATCTAATACTGGACTTTGGTTTCATTTAATGTTTTTTTTTATTTTAATTATAACTGTTTCTTTGAACTAATTCTAAATCAGTGTTTGCTTTTTTTTTTTTTAAATGGGAAAAGCAGATGACAGAAACCCCCTTTTCAGTAAGACTTTTCCATATAAGGAAACTGACTTTGAAGTGTCAGTGAAGGCTGGGCTCTGTCCCTCCAGGGCTCCTCCTCTGTGGGTGTAGTGGCCATTTGATCATCCATTAGAGAACACCCTGCTATCTCTCCCTTTCAAAATAAATCATTTTTGGAAATTGCATCTTTAGAGCACTGTATTGATTAGCCTCCTTGCCAAGATCCTTTTGTTGTGAGATGTTTGCCCAAGGAGCCGTGACAGAATAGAGCGTTAAACCTCAGCTGTTGTGAGAGAGAAAGGCTTTAAGTGGTGGTACTGAAGTCCTTGCAGAGAAAGGAAGAATCAAATTACACCCATTGTTTGTGAGTCTTTGAAGGCTGTTTATCGAAAGGGCCAGTATCTCATTATCTCTCCCAGTCCCAGCTGAAAAGAGTTGGCTACCTGTCTGAGTTACCCTGAAAAAGTTCTTTTTAGGCAGAATGAATGAAAGTGCTGTTACCAAAGTCTCCCTGTACCATTAAACACCGTTAAGCATCAGGAGGCGAAATCTAACATTCAGCCTGATTTGGTCAGCGTAGCCTTTGCGTGGCTAAGAGTTGCACCTGCGGACTAAGGCAGCGGCTCAGTGAATAAAGCGCTCGCTGTAAAATCATGAGGACAGGAGTTTGATGCTTCCCCAAAGCAGATGTGGTAGTGTGCCTCGGCAGTCCCAACGTAACCTGCTTCAGAAAAGGACAGAGACAAGAGAGTCCCCCAGAGCTCCTGGGCCACCTAAGTTGGCATGAGCAGCCGTGAACAACAAGAATCCCTGCCTCGAACATGATAGAACACAAGAAGTTAAAACCCAAGGTCATCCTCTGACCTCTCCACACATGCTGTGCCACGTGTATGCCCTCACTCACACATATAATACACATATGCATACAGACATGTGTGTAAACACACACACACTTTTTTTTTTTTTAGAAAAAGTCACTTACCTATTATGATGTTGTAGAATTTATTGTAATTTTCAAACCTGGATTATTTTATTTATGTTATCTCTTTTTTTGGAAACAGTTTCCTGTCTCTAAAGGTATTAGATACTGGCTTAAGTTTTAAATACACCAATTGAAACAAATAGCCACCAAAGCAAACCAAAGTAAAAATAAGAAAAAAGAAAGAAAAAAGAAAAAAAAAAGGGAAAGAATCCCAGCATCTCTTTTCATGCTGATACTCAAGGAAATAGTAGATTTTTGAATGAAAATTTGGGTAATAAGAAATTACATTAATAAAAACGAAGACTTTAAAAGTCAAAGCTATAAAACTGAGAAGGACTTCACCTCTGAATCTTGGAGGATGATGTTGAACTGACATGGGAGGGGATGGTGCTTTGACAGCCCCAAGGGCTCCCTGGATGCCCTGCCTTCTCTGTCTGCGTCTGTGTAAACAGACAAGCCAGCCGAGAAAGGGCCCTTTTCAACATAAAGGCCCTTTTCAACATAAGAGTAGCTAAGGGGCAGCGAACACTTAGGTCCACAGACAGAGAACTCCAGGGCTGGCAGGGTGGCTGCTCCCACCCCTCTGCAAGAGCTCCATGCCTCGTCACTATGGTGTGGACTTGAAATCTCAGGAGGCAGTTGTGTGGGTGTAGCGAGCTGGAGAACGGTGGATGCCGGGCAGCAGTGGGGGGGGGGGCGTCTAGAAAAGCTACGTACTTCAGGGCCTGGAAGATGAGAGCTGTGTTCACTTGCTTCAAGCCCTGGGCTTCTCTAGACAGCTGGACCAGGCAGCGCGACCTCTGCTTTCCATTGTGTTCTTCAGAATGAGACAGTTGTCAGTGACATCCACAGGTTTATAGTCCAGCTGGGAGCCCTATAGATAGCCATAAGAGCAGAGAAAACATTCTGATTCTCTAAATCACCTCTGTTTTCTATATTTAGACTTCAGCTTTTTTTTTCTTGTCTGGCTTTATGAAAAGCAGACAGTCTCTTTAACCTCAGCTAGGAGCGTGCAAAGCATATTGGTTTCCAGACTCAAAAGCAGTCAGTTCTATTTTGAATGGGGGACAGTTTTGAAAGAATATCAATTGCTTGGTGTCACTCTGTTCCTTGATGTGGCCACTTTAATTATCCAGTGTAGAAGGAATCCCAGTTGTGTCTGCAGAAAAATATTTAACATTTTTTAAAATTGCATCACAAATAAAATAATACTGTTTTGTGTCAGAATCAATAAGATACTTAGATTCAATAACCTCACATTTATGACCCCAACTTAGTTGTTTTCTGGTTTTCTTTTTTTTTTAAATGAATTTCAGTGAGAAAATATATTTTGAAAAAAAAATCCAGTGATCAGATTTTTAATTTTATCATTTTCTTATCTATAGTGGTTGAATACTAATTGTTACTTCTATAAAATGATACCATTAATGAACAATTACAAACATACTAAAGTTAAAAAAAATAATGATTATATTCTGAGAATTTCATGTGTTCACTGTACGTAAGTCAGACTTTGATTGCCAGTGATTTCAGGTTTCAGTGTTTGCGTAAACAATAGAGAAATAGCAGGATGCCCTCAGAGCAGTGGATAAAACCAAGTCCTTGTTAACAAATAGATGAGTTCATGTGAAAGAGACATGTTCTCTGGGACACTGAGCACCAACAGTTCCCAAAATGGCCTTGGGCATGGCACACGGGACACACTTTAGAGCCATGTTCTTCAGTGGCTACCTTAGATACCAAAATTTTCCAAATCCCAATCCAAAAGCAATATTAATGCCTGTGCGATGCCAATATTGTCCTCTTTGGCATGTGGGCGGCAAATCCACGGGTATGTTCACTGTATTGTCTAGTGAGCCTAACAGGTATAGTGCATCTAATATGTATAGCTTTGACACAGACGCTGACTACAGTTGATTCCCACCATTTTATATTCGCTATCAAATTTACCTATTCTCTAACGTTTATTATTAGAAAACCTTCATACTCCAGGAGAGAATGGGTGTTATGAATTTTGTATCCCTGAAGAATAGGACTTTGCATCCCAAGTCTATTGCAGTGTGATGTTTAATAACTAAATAAAACGGTTGGCTTGTGCGCTGGACTGTACCCTTGCCTGTAATGAGGCACAGTGTAGAGGCTTCAGTTTATCAGTAGTTTGTCTCTTCCTTAGTAGAGGCACTGGTTGGGTTGGAAGGCAGACCATGAATAGACATAGTTTATACCCATCCTCCTATTAGTTAACATATAGTGTGAGATTGGACCTTGGCGGGTGGGTCCAATCCACAGGAGGTGAGAGACAGGCCATGGAGACAGAACTTACATAGGGAGTTTTATTGAATTTCACCCGATCATTTTTAGTTGAACTTCAAAACTATTCCTCCTACCCCCACTGTCTGGAGTTGTACACTATACAGGGGCAGACCTGGTGGCAGTAGGATCCCGCTTGAGTTAGGGCTATTTAATACTAAAGGAAGTAGCAAAGCAATACTTTAAAACCCAAGAGCTGGTCCTCACATCAAAGGATGAAATTAATGTTCCTTGATTATGTAAAGAAAACTACGATTTGATCTAAAGTTTCCACTCAGATTATTTGAAATTAACTTTAAAAAACTTTAAAAAAAAAAAAACCTTATTCACCATATTATAAAAGTTCAAGTAAAATTTGACTTTTGTTTGCTTGGAGGCCAACAAAGACTGCGTTTATTCAAGTGTTCCAGTTTGCTTTCTGTACTGTGATAAGATTTAAAAAAAAAAAAAAAAGGCACTCTGATCAAACCAAAAGAAACTTAGGGAAGGAAGCAAAGGGCTTATTTGCCTTACAGTTCCAATTCCCAGTCCATCCTTGAAGGAAGTCAGGACAGGAACTCAAACAGGAACTTGCAGCAGATACCATAGAGACGGCTGCCTGCCTGCGGATGGACGCACTGGCGGGCTCATGCTTAGCTGGCTTTCTTATGCAGCCCGGCGCCATCTGCCTAGGGGATGACACCGCCTACTCGATTAGCAACCAAGACAGCCCCCAACAGAGATGCCAGCAGGCCAGTCTGGTCTGGGGGATTCACCCACCCAGGTTCTCCCTCTCAAAGGACTCCAGCTGAATCAAGCTGACAGATGGAATTAACCAGGACAGATGGCTAATGCACCAACCATGTGTTTCCTGCGCTACCACATTAGCGTGTGCATATCGGATATTTGTTAGGATTAGAAGTGAGCGCTTCTCCTGTTACTTTTAAAATTATTTTCTTCATATTTTCTTTTAGTGCGTACTATTAGGGCCATGAGAGAAGCCTGGTGAAATGCCAAGCAACCCTTCATACCACTCTTGTGTGTCCTATGTTTGTGGAGATGTGAAATGTCTTGAGTTGTGTGGGCATCCATTTCAGGAAATAGCATTGCCCGTTCGGAGATGGTTATTGAAACTTGGAATGGTTCTAGGTCGCTTTTCACATGAATAGTTCTTCCAGGAAAGCATGAATAGACTATGTATCCACAGATGATACAGTGCTCGCTTCCTAACTGTCTCTCTGGAAAATGTCTACTCCCTCTTCTCCAACCCCCTCTCTTCAAACAGACTAAAGAAGAGAGAGAGATTTCTGAGAAAGTTGTATTTTTACAGCAAGGAAGTTCAGCATTCCTTGAGTCTCAGGTAAAAAGCAAACACGGATTATTTGCGTAGAGGAAACCTTCTTCAGCCTTCGCTGTCCCTGAAGTCTCTGGTTTTCACTTCTTTAGTTTCTCTTGTTTAATGCTAAGGTGGGTACGTATGTAACTTTGCTTAGACTTTGGGAGAGGGAATTTGCTTAGTATGTTAGTGATCAGTTACGTATTGCTCATAACTTCTACATGATAAAAATTACCATTGAGGCTCTGGGTCTATCTGTGATAATCTTCTGAAATTCCCCCCCACTGCCAGTTTTCATCTAGAGACTGCTACTATTTTTAATGCCTTTGACTGATTTTGAATACTCTGAACTTATATTGGTTTTCTTGCTAGCCAAGTGTGGTTAAGAAAATGCACGAAGGCGTCTCTGCTGATTCTGTGGCCACTTCTCATCAGATAATTTTCCAGAAAACTGTCCCGTCGACCCTAGAGGTTATTCTTTTCAATTTATTTCTTTCAGTCCATTGCCAGCATATAGATCAACCTACAGTTATTCTGCTTAACACAAACGTATATCTAGAGTCAGGTTTTCAGGCTATGATAAATAGAAAACGGCACCCTCGTTTAAGATGTAAAACAAGATGCTCACCTACTCTGGTTTGAGCTTGCTTCCTTCCGCAACTGGGTAGGCTGGTTAACTGTTAGCCCATGGCGTCCTGATAGCTCTCCTGTAGGCCAAGGTTCCTTACCTTTCTTCTGTCCTGTTGAAACTAATGCTAAAGGAAGTAGGAGAGGAATTACTGAGCCATCGAATTAGTTCTAGCTGAGAGCAGAGCACTCCACGGACCTCTGAGTCTCGTTTATAAAGGATCCAATCAGGAGTGGCTCATCAGGGGAAATGCTAATACCATACCTTGAATACAGGTGCACTCGGTATGCACTGATGCCAAGTATAGTCATGAATTGACTGCCCTGGATAAGGAAATAAACTTGCAGTCTTGGAAAATGGCATTGGCAGAAACCTGGAGAATACCTTCAACTTCCTTGTGAGAATATCAGTATGTGAAGTGCTCTAGAACAGAGAACGTGGAAAACTGTCTTTTGTGCCCACGTGCGTAAAGTTGAATAGTTCAGTGATACCATCCAATCCTAACATAAAAAGCAACCAGCTGCTGACCATAAAGTCAAATAGGTTTCTTCTAAAATTCCTTGCCAAGACGTGTTCATATTTAAAGTAACATGGAATTACAACGCTACCCCACAGAATGTATTCTGGGCTGAAATTAGTAGACTTTTAGTTGAGAGGAGACACCAGCCCTAATTCTTAGATGACAGTGGCCACCCTTTGCCTCCGTCCTACCCCGTGCCCGAGTGTAGTTTAGGCCTTGATTTTTCTATAAAGGGTTCTTATTTTATAAACAAGATGCCATCAGCTTTCCTAATTTAGCTTTTATATTTTGAATATAGGGTACAGAGGATTGGGTTATTGTAGACAAAATACCCACTGAGGTAGTTGATGGTGATTCGAAAAAGATTGTGACTTACAAGGTGGTTACCGTGACCAGTAAAACTGGTGAGATCCCAGCCGACTTGCTAAAGTCTAGTATGGTTGACATGCACGGCTTCGATGACTTGACCAGAGACATGCATCTTAAGGACGAGACCAAGCAGAAGATGTACACGCTAGGGAAATCCTACGACACGGTCTCTGGGAGAATTGTTACCATGACGGGGAAAGCTAAAGAGGGGGAGAAAGCCGCACAGACCTCCTTGCTGGAAGGCCTGCGGAAGACGGAGAGAGGCGCCGCAGAGGCTGCGAAGGTTGCTCCCTTGCTGGTGGAATATGAGGTCCTGGAATCCTTGACTGAAGAGAAATCCAGAAGGGGACCCGAGGTCCACACCCCGAAGCGGAGATTGTCAGAGTCCCTGGCGCCCATCAAGGAAGCTGAATCTCGCCGGCAGAGCCCTGAGGAAGATGACACCCAGAAGGCTCCAACGCTGGGAGAGGATGCGCCCGCCCAGCCCCGGTTCAGCAAACCGCAGCAGGTCCCCGAATGTGAGGTGCTGAAGGTAGGGCCCTTTGGCCCACGCAGGAAGAGCCTGTCTGAGTGGCGGTACTCCCAGGAACCGGCCTTTACTGTGGCTACTGCTCACTACGTCACCGAGTCCTCTGCATCCCAAGTGGTGGTAACCAGTGGCTCTCGTTCAGTCGCACCTTAAGATTCCAGCATGACGATTTTTTTCAAACAGCGCCCTTCCGCCCTGAACCTTTCCCGTTCCTCTTGCCGCTTGACTTTATGTTGGGAGCAGCGAACCCAGCTTTTCTCCTCTATGATTAAATCAATATTGCAGTCTAAAGTCAGCATTAAAACACTTTTCCCATTTTATTTCTAGCTGCCCATTCCCAAGATGCCGTGATAACGCTGCTGTGGCTTGCAATAAAGGGGCGGGGCGGGGGGGGCGGGGCTGGAAAAATGACCGGCTTAAATCGGCACCACCCTAAACGTAATATCTCGGCTGTAGCTCACGAGGGCTCGTGGTCACCTAGTTTGCTATGTTATGCCTCCATTGTTTTCTGTTTCCAAGCTCTCTACGTGGACTCCTCCTTCATTCCTCCTTCCTTTTTTCCCCTCTGCCTCCAGTCTTGTCTAGCAAGCCGCAAACACGTGAGCCCGAGGCGCCTCTCTCGTGCTTGACTCTTCCTCTCTTTGTCTACTCAGACTAAACAGTCCTCTGGGGAGAAGCTCATGGATGGCTCGGAGATCCTCAGTCTGTTAGAGTCGGCTCGAAAACCCACAGAGTTCATAGGCGGGGTTTCCTCTACGACCCAGAGCTGGGTGCAGGTGGCCGTTTGCTCCCATCCTTGGTGTTTGTGAATGTGCCCGTTTGCTTTGCTTTGCGAGTTTGTGGCAGGTGTGTGTCTGTGTTTTGCACCCAAGTGGCATTGCCGTCCTGCACCTCAAAGATGTCCTGAGTGATTGCCCTTTGTGCCGCTGCATGTGTCTGTCACGTAGCTTCCATTCCACTTCAAGAATGCGCTTCCGGTACTCGACAGCGATGGCGTTAGGAGGTTTTGTCTCATCTGTTGGGTCTCAGAGCGCATTCAAAGCCGGTGTGAATGTGTGGCAAAGCTTCCATTCTCCGTTCTCCACTGGCCTATTTTACTCCATTCTGTTTCTCCTGCCATTGCTGAGAAACCCGTGCAGGTCCCCATGTGCGGGTCAAACAAGCACACGGCAAAGCTGGCGGGAGAAAGGAAACCTGAGTTTGTATCCATCTGTGTTTGTGCAAATGAGCTCTGGATGCCGGCTTTGGACATCCTAGTGAGCAGCAGCTTGGAGTGGGGGTTGATTGTTTTGTTTTATGGACGGTCACTCAGACCCTGTACTCTTCCCATACAGAAAGTGGAAACGAAGACAGAATCCATTGAAACCGAGGTGGCCTCCGCCCCGCACTCGCAGCCCCCCAGCACTGAGAAGGTGCTGCAGGAAACGGTCGTGGTGGAGGAGAGGCGTGTGATGAACGTGCAGGGCAGTGGGGATGCTTCTCACGCGGCGGGGGATGACGCGGATGCTGCAGAGTCCACACCCGTGGATCCGCACAGCATAAAAGGGACGGAAGCAGCCAAGGAAGAGAGAGGAGAGGTGGCCGACAAGTCTGTCCCTGAGCAGGAACAGCCTGCCACTGGCTCCCGCGAGGAGGAGCAGGTGGAGGCTACGCACCCTTCCGAGGCTTTGGAACAAAAGTCTCATTTTGAGGTGAACAGTAGTTACTAATTCACTCAGGTGATACCAAGGTGAAAGCAAGGCTACATTTAAGTTTATGCCTTGTGGTGCAGGGAGCCTTTGGTTTTCCTCTCTGTTCTATTACTTCGCATGGCAGTGAAAGGCCCCCATGCGTGTTTCCAGATTTGGGGTCACGTAGAAACATAACAACCAGTAAGTATTGATGACGTATAGCTCCAGGAAGCAGTTTCTGTCATGAACATTATAACTGACAGAAAGCATGGGAACCAGTGATTAGCTGTGAGAAAACTGGAGGGCCACAAAGATGGCTTAGTGGCTAACAGTGCTGGTCACACAGCCTGATGCCCCGAATTCAGTCCCTAGAACCCACAGTGGAAGAGGAGAACCAGGTTCTGAAAGTTGCCCTCTGACCTACATAGGCACAACAACAATAATAATAAATATTTTTAAATGAAAAGTTGGCATTTATTTCTGATCCATATACTTTTCCAGAAGGACCAGAAAGCATTCCTCCAACTTCCAGAACTTTCTTCTCTGTTAGCTTTTACTGAGATCCTCCACACAGTGGTGGGTGGTGGCTGATGATTTAGGACTTGCCTCATCCTCCTTGGTTACTAGTTTAAAAGCTCGTTTATAGGTTTAACTCTTATCGGTGTTTGCATATGAGATTGAAAAGAAGGAGCAGATTGTTTTTAATGTCCTTTAAGACGTTTCTGCTGCCTCGAACATCCTATGTCCACAATTGCTGGGTTTTGGCGGGAGACTGACACGGATTTATTGTGTGCCGTGATCCATATCTTCCCTCCTCATTTAATGTGGAAACTTCTGTCACGAACAAAAGACACCAAGAAGAGAGAGGAGTCAAACCATGTGTGCGCCTCGGTAACCCCTCCCCAGAAGAGAGAGGAGTCAAACCATGTGTGCGCCTCGGTAACCCCTCCCCAGAAGAGAGAGGAGTCAAACCATGTGTGCGCCTCGGTAACCCTTCCCCCTTGCTTCCCACTGCTGCAGTCATCCACTGTGAGAATGGAAAGCATGAGCGTGGGCGGTGTTTCTCCAGGAGGAGGCAAGCTCGACATCTCTACCAAGGAAGTGCCAGTAGTTCACACAGAAACCAAAACCATCACATACGAGTCTTCACAGGTAAGACCGGAGGCCTGGCCACTCTGTGGCGTCACGCATACACAGTAGCAGTCCAGGAGGCTGAGAGGATGCAGCATCCAAACTATCTCTGTCAAGACCAGTGCTATGCTGTGGTTTTATCACTGATTGCGGAGCCACAGGGACTTCCCCAAGGCATTGGATAACCTGGCATAGGAAAGCCTCAGAGAGCTGTGTGTGCAGCTATGGACCATAAAGAGGACTGGGCTACCCACATCATCTCAGTTTGTTAACCCTCCTAGCCCGCGGCTTTGCCTAGAGTTTACTCCCAGAGCTCCCAGGAGCTACCTGAATTGGCCTATGATTGATTGGAAAGCGATTGTTCCTTCCTTCTAAGGAAGTAGGTTCCAGGTTTCCCATGGATGCTCCAGTTCCTTGGCTAGGCTAGTATAACATTTCTTTATAATGTATGGACATGCTCAGATATAGTTAAATAATCGCTGGGTGAGTTACACTACCTTGCACAATGTGAATGCAATGTGTGGTTGCATTAAATAAATGAAATAAGTGTGGTTGTACTCCGATTGTACTCCGATGTTTAGCAAATACCTGGACATGTTCAGTCTGGCCGCAAACAGTTTCTGAGTATTTTCCATGCGTCGTTGATTGAGTCTTCGCATGGGGAGAGCCAGTTCACTCTGTCACCGTACGGCATTAAGGAATGGGACCGTCCTGTGAAGAGGAAATGTAACCACACGTGTGTGCTGTGTGTGTTCCTGTCCCTGCTTAGGTTGACCCTGGGGCCGATCTGGAGCCAGGGGTGTTGATGAGCGCCCAGACGATCACATCAGAAACCACTAGCACCACCACCACCACACACATCACCAAAGTAAGTGGAGCCGACACCCACCAGCACCAGTCCTGATAGCTGGAAAAAGACATTGATCACCAAAACCTCCGGCAGGCCCGGCTGCGCGGGAATTCCTTACTTGCCTATCCGCTGTCGAGCTAGGCTGTATTAAAAGTGAGCTGAGAGACGTCAGTGTCTCCCATGAACTTGTCCGCCTCTGCCAGTTTCTGTTGAGGATTCGTTTTGGTATCCTTGATGGTATCCCAGGGTGGGCATAGAGTAGACCTCAGAGAAACTGGCCCGCTAAGCCCCAAAAGCTCTGCTTTTGACAGTGAACCTGGGGGCATGAACGACGGTGGCTCTTGACGCTACTCCTGCCTCCTGCCGTTCCCCAGTGAGTCGCTCACAGGGCTCTTCTGTTTCCTCTAGACTGTGAAAGGCGGCATTTCAGAGACGAGAATTGAGAAGCGGATAGTCATCACGGGAGATGCTGACATTGACCATGACCAGGTAGGGTGTGTGTGTGAGGCGGTAAACGCTCTGACGGAGAAGTCAATGTGAACTTACGGGCCTTTGGGTTCCCAATGCTAATGTTCTAGTTCAGCGTGTATTCTAAAATAGTTTCTCAATTAGCTTTGCAGAATACAATTTCGAATCCTTCCGTAATCATTGTACCTCCTTGTTAATTGTGGATATAGATTTAGCTCATAAGTCTTACACCTTGCTATGGCTCATGCATGTCCCACCTCCTTTTTGTTTCTGCCCTTCTGTGATTTCCTGGGGATAGGCTCTGGCTCAGGCAATTAAAGAGGCCAAAGAGCAGCACCCCGACATGTCAGTGACCAAAGTAGTGGTCCATAAAGAGACAGAAATCACACCAGAAGACGGAGAGGATTGACCAGAGGTAAGAGGTGACGTTGATGATTCTCTAGGCTTGCCTCAGCTGGCATGCAGCATGGGGCACCTCCCTCCCTCCCCTCCTTTGCCTCATTCCCCCTCCCTTGGTTCTCTCACTGGCATCCATGGGGCTGGCTGGCTAGAAGATGGAGATCTGTTTGTGGGTACTGGGGTTGCCTCTGCTGCGGAGAAGCCATCGTTAGAGCTGTGTCTGCACCCCACGCCAGTTAGAGGCGAAGGGAAAAGCGGGGTCCTTGCTTGCCTTGTCTCACCGTTGCGCTTTTCCTCTGGGCTTTGCGTTCTTCACACCGGCCAAATTTGAAATATCTAATTTGATTTCGCTCGCCGTGTGGGCCTAATAAGCACTCAAGCGGGTTCTCCTGCGAAGCTGAATTTGTGTTTCCACTTGCAGAGAAATTAGCCGTGCTCCTTCATGCTTTTGACGGCAGCATCGTCGTCCCTTGGAAGCACGCTCTTCCAAGACGAACGTCTGTGCTTCAGACTGACTTGGTTTGAAGCTGAGCACTCCCTTCCTTTCCGAATGCCTTATACTTCCTGTATTCTGTGACTGACTTTCCCCATCGTACTTTGTCCCAAAGGGAGGCGACAATGCAGATTTTGTGGTCATGTTTTCCTCATGAAAGCGCATGCCTTGCCAGTCTGTGTGGGCAACATCACGAGCAGACTCTGCCCTCTCTGCGTGCACAGCCCTGTCATGTGAGAACTCAGGGGGCTGCGCATTTCCTTAGGTGGGCTGTGGATGCTGAGTGCAGTTGTACCTACTTACCCGTGTACTTCTGGAATAAGAATAGTATTGAAAAGAGGTTGTCCAGAACCATTTTCTGAAGCGTTTAGGTTGATGGGTAATACCTCTTTTAAAAATAAGAAAAGTAAATGCTAAACTCACTCAGACCCAAATTAATAGGATTCTTGAAAGATGAAAGCAGAAGTGAGAGAGAGAAAAGATTTTGTTTTTTCTCTCCAATGGGCTTCGGCCACTTGAGTGATGCAGTTTTCTGTTACCATGTAACAGCCTCCCATCGGAATGAGCATTCTAACCTCCACAGCACCTTCTGTAACTGCTCGGACGTTTTCCGATGAGAAACTGATGGAACCTTTCTTCCCACAGGAGTAACCCAGCTTGCACACGAACCCAGTCATGTAAACCGTTAGGAAAACCGGAGCCTATGTGGCGTTCCCTCTTCTAACCCAACTGACTTGCGTCTGTCCGTGGAAAATTCCAGAAGAACTGACCTTGACCGTTAATGAAAGACACTGGCAGAGAGATCTTCCCGCATAAAGCAATCCGAATCGGCATCTCTAAACCGACACTGCATGAAGCGATGATAAAAAAAAAAAAAAATCACGAAAGAGCCGCGCCGCACTTTTAATTTCCACCGAAATCTCTGTTTTCAACCCGACCTGCACGTTCATAGCCAACTGTGTAAACCGTGATCTCATGTAACACGACCACAACTCATGCCCTACCATAGTTTATTATTAAAGTCTCCACAAAACCACAGTCTCATAGGTGACAAATTCTGTTTACAAACAAATGTTAACTACCCTAAAATGCTATCAGCCGTCTAGGTCCGGTGTGTCAGATTTACCCCAGATTAGATGTGCCAATAACCGACTTTATTCAGTGAACAACTTGAATCTTGTCCTTGTCTGATCTGGTTTTATTATTCTCACCCGTAAGCAGTAATGACTCTCTGACCCTCTAGAAATGCGTAATGCTTACAACCTTGCTTTGTGTCTCTAATTTGTTATAAGGTAGAATTGATTCTAGCACACTGATGTAATTTCTTCCTACGCCTTCACTCTGGTCTGCGTTCAATCCAGAAAGATTCCCAGAATTTACCTAAGCAAACCCTCAATATGTACATTATCATTGTTTGAGGAAGAAAACCTGTATTTTTGTTAGTTTATAATATTACGAAAATCCACTCCAGGAAGATCTGCCGGGCTGCTTTTTCTTGTTGTTTTTCTTTTCCTTGTATTTTTTCATTGATTTTTTTTCTTCTTTTACTTGAACAAAAAAGGTGTTTTATTTACAAATCTGGTCCATATTTCCAATCTAGTTCAGAGCCAAGCCTTAAATTGTACAGAATTTCCACTGTAATTAAACTATTTAGTGTCTAGTTAGAAAGAGCCTCCAGAAAGATATATTCTCCATTACGCTGTCTGCTGCATCACAGCCCGTCCTGAATCATGTTACCGCATCGCAAAATAAAAATGGCAAATGCATTGAAAGCTCTAATTTTCTGTGTGGAATGATTCCGGTTTTCTGTGGTTAAGCCAGAGTTCACATTTGCATTACACCAGAGGCCTCATCTAGCTGAAGTATAGAGCAATCCTTGCTAGACAACAGGGTTAGAGAGACACGCATTCAGTCATACAGACTTTGGAGGGTTGGGGATGAGAGCAAAATACATTTATAGAAATAGTCAGTTACCTGCAATGGCTTCAAAAGGGCGTTATAGGCTCTCGTGAGAAAAGGAACTTGATGCCTCTGGGTACTTTTAGTTAGCTAAGTAAACCGCTGTTCCTAAGAAAGCTGCTTTGACTGTGATATCCGTGACAGGGGTTCGCACAGTTGACAAAGAGGGACATGGAAGACTTCTGTGGCCACCTCTACTCCTGCCTCCAAGAAAAGTAATAGCCTAGGTAGGACGTCATCGAAGAGAACTCAGAAAGTGTAACAGGGATACTGAAGTGAAGCTCTCCACAACTGGTGGGTTCTGGCGGGGGTGGGGAAGAACTCAGTTTTACTAAAAGGCCAGGTCACTGGGAGTTTGATGCTCCAGCGAGTATATAGAGAACACACACTGGACTTGGGTTCTTTTGTTGTTGCTGCTGTTGTTGTTTCTTTTTTGGTTGGAACAGGGTAGTCACAAGGCCAGGGGCAGACATGGAAAGCCTGGGGAATGGGTGTGGCTGGGCTGTATGATGCAAAATTCCCAAAGAATCGATAGAAATGTTATATGGAAAAAATAAAAATAGAAAACACTACTCTTCCTTTCAGATACCAGCTCCGCATAAATGAGGCAGTGGGTGTTGCAGAGGCCTGCATGGCCTCTTTCAGGTGCTCATGGTGCGGAGGAAAACTAAGAACCAAAGGAACCTGCCTTTATTGACATCTTCCGAGTCATGATTTACCTAGCTTTCTGACTTAGAGAAAAAAAAATGGAGGGGCTGGAGAGATGGCTGAGAGGATAAGAGCACTGGCTGCTCTTCCAGAGGTCCTGAGTTCAATTCCCAGCAACCACATGATGGCTCATGACCATCTATAATGAGATCTGGTGCCCTCTTCTGGCCCACAGGGATACATGGAGGCAGAATATTGTATATATAATAAATAAATAAATCTTTTTTTAAAAAAAAAAAAACGGAGCTAAAGATTTATAGCTCAGTGGGTAAAGTTCTGCCTTACAGGTGTGAGAAATGAGTTCCAGCCCTGCAACCTATAAAGAGGAGGGAGGGGCTGGAGAGATGACTCAAAGGTTAAGAGCACTTTCTGCTCGTGCAGAGGACCCAGGTTTAGTTCCCAGCACCCACATGACAGCTCACAACCAGTTGTCACTATAGTTCCGGGGACCCCAAAAACCCTCTTCTGGCGTCTGTAGGCACCAGGCATGCACATAGTGTGCACACATACATAGAGGTAAGCACTGATCACACACACAAATGAATCCTTTTTAAAAACCCAGTGTGGGGGCTAGAGAGATGGCTCAGTGGTTAAGAGCATTGCCTGTTCTTCCAAAGGTCCTGAGTTCGATTCCCAGCAACCACATGGTGGCCCACAACCATCTGTAATGGGGTCTGGTGCCCTCTTCTGGCCTGCAGACATACACACAGACAGAATATTGTATGCATAAT